TGTCTATGCTTCATGACATACAACCACCTTCATGAAGCTACTGCTAAATATTTTAAGGTTTGTTAGTTGGCATACAATTCCAGATACCAAATCTGTGAGATTAGGATTAGGTTTTGCTGAGCATGACATAAGAGAGTGGCATAAACAGAATTTATATTCTTTCTGATATAAAATAAAATAGTGGAGGCAGAGTATCCAAGACTGGTGTGGCAATTCTATTCCATGGAGTCCTCAGGGACCCAGGCTCGTTCAGTTTTTGAGTCTGCCATCCCTAGGATTATGCCCTTTTTCTAGTTCCAAGATAAAGCTCAAGCTATCATACCAAAGTTCTAAGGAGCAGAAGTCAATCAAGGGAGAGAGAAAAAAGCTGAACAGCAAGCTCTCAAGAAAGGTTCCTGCTGCCATTTTACATCCCATAGGTCAGAAGTTGGTCTCATGATTATGTCCAGCCAAAAAAAAAGGCATACCCAGTGGAAAAATTCTATTCCTATGGAAGAAGGTAAGAAAGGACATTGAACACTTGACAGCCTCTGCCAAATGAATGAATGAATGTGATTCAGAGCATAAAGATAGAAGAATAAGCCTAGGGCATAATTTGCAACATTTAACTGAAGGATCAAAAAGAGGGAAGTAAAGAGGAAAAAAGGATAGATGTCATTGCAGCTAACCTTGCAGTTCTGGGCAGAGAAGCCAGGAAGTTGAAGGACTTTTCTTTTTTTAAATTAAGGTATCATTGCGTGATCAAAACCGAAAGTTTCTGTGATATGACTGCCCTTGCACTGTTCACCATGTAAGAACTTATTCACTATGTAAGAACTTGTTCACCATATAAGAACTTGTTCATTATGCTTCAGAAGATGGGAGACTGTTGAGAAATAGGCTTGGGGTTGATTAATGACTGTGCATTGAGTCCCCTACACAGAATTTTATTGTTGTTAACAACCATTTGATCAATAAATATGAGAGATGCCCTCTCAAAAAAAAAAAATTAAGGTATCATTGATACACAATCTTACGAAGGTTTCACATGAGTAACATTGTGGTTTCAACATTCACCCATGTTATTAAGTCCCCACCCCAAACCCCATTGCAGTCACTGTCCATCAGCCTAGATGCTATAGAGTCATTACTTGTCTTCTCTGTGCTGTACTTGCCTTTCCTGTAACCTACCTGTATTGTGATTGCTAATTATAGTGCCCCCTAATCCCCTTTTCGTTGAGGAATTTTTTCACCTGATCATTTGTGTGTGCGAAGTAGGATTGTGCTGAGGTGGAGTAGGGGATTTAAGAAACCAGTGAAAGTTTGCAGTAGACATTAAGGGAAAATACAAGATTTGTTTACTGATATACAAGGAATATGGAGTAGGAATAATTGTCCATAAAGATTGGACACCACGAGATTTAGTGACCCTGATTCAAACTCTATCCTTCCACCATACCCATACATCCCTCTTCTGACCTTGAGCAGACCATTTCTACCAAGGAAAAGCAATTGTAGCTGGAACTTTTATTTCTTTGTCAAGTCCAATGCAGTGATGACATTTCTATCTGCTGAGCCCAGATAGATAAGAATTAAATGTCAAGAAAACCTTCCGTGGTCAAGGCCCTGATAATTACGATAAAAGAAACCAAGATTAGGCTTGTGACTTCCAAGGAAGAGAAACTCAGGCCATCCTAAGGAAAACAAAGAAACTGCAAGGATATCCACTGAAAAAAACTAGGAAGCCAGCAGGAAGTGAGGCAGCTTCAGGGTGGTATTATATTGTGGTATCTCTTTCACGTGGGCATCCTCATATGACAACTACACAAGTCTTGTCCATTCTTCTAAGGACTACACAATTCTTGCTGGTCTCAACATTTTGGAAGGAGCCAGCTTGATTCACTTACATAATTCTCAACAAATTTATTGGATTAAGCTCTTTACACTTGTCTACACCAGGGTTATCAACCAGCTTGAGGTGGCACCATTATGATTGGTATCTTAGTCTACTCTTATCAGCCAGGCTCCAGCCGGGAGACAGAAAACACAGTAGTTTGAACAAGGCAACCTCGATATGAAGAATTACTAATGAGTAACAGGGGATTAACTACAAAGGGTGAACAGAACTCTTAAGAATACAGGAGCAGCCAACCTCTAGTGCTGAAGCAGAGTACCCAAGGAGGGTACAAATTTGGCTGAGGTTCTCTTGCAAGACTGAGATTCAGACTTGGTCGGTGGGGGTATGGTTGAGACCCACTTGTTGAGCTACTGAAGTCCAGGGTTGGAGAGGTAGGGATATCAACAAAATTAGTTAGGAAGCTACCTACTGGGGTGCCTCAAAACTTACTGGGACTGTGAGGTTGTCTGCTAGGGCACCAGCAAAACCTGCTGGGAAGCTATCAAGGGGACCGGTGGGCTTGCTGGGGACCACCCTTCCATTGAGGTGCCACTGGCCCCTCTATGCTACAGAAGAAAAATCCCACCAGAACCAGGGAGAGAAGCTCCTTTCTTCTACAGCATCCCTCCAGCATCACGCACCAAGTGTTAACATTGTGTCAGCAGGCAAGACAAATGTTTATGAAAGGGCTAGCCCCAGCATCACAAAGCAAGGCAGTGAGGGGTGGAGGGGCCTGAGAGCACATCGATGGTGGGCACACCACAAATCAGTGATGGTCTCTGCACAAGGCTCAGCAGACCTCTATTTCCCAGAACATGGGTCGGATAGAACACTTTATTTAGGAAGAAATTCACTCTAGTTCTTGGACTGGCTGGATGTATCCAGCATTTAAGAAATTTCCTGTTGATACTACTGAATATTCAGGACACTGGTGACTTCAGATAATTACTGAATAGGAGGGAAGGAGAAGGCAAGAGAACCTCTTATATTTGCTCAGCAAGCACTGTTGTTTTTGCTTAGATTTTATTTGGGAGATTAGGAGGGCAGGACTGGTGGAATTTGGGGGCAGGGGTGTGACTAAATCTACTGATCCAATAAAAAATAATTTCACCTCAGAATAGCCAGACTATGGAGCTTGCGTGAGGATTTCCTTGCAGAAATCCAGTCCAAGAACTAGTTCAGTGAATTTCTTCCTGAATGAAGGGTGGTCCAATCCCTTCTGGGAAATGGAGGTCTGCTGACCCTTGTGCAGAGATCACCACTGATTTGTGATGTGCCCATCAATGTGTTCTCAGCCCCCTTCAGGAAAGAAATCTCAAGATTTCTCTTCCTAATCCTTGTGTTAAAACCTCATGGCTTTCATGTTAACTGATGTTTTAAGGTCAACTGTAACATGGAGTATTAACTTATTTGTTGCAATAGGATGAAAAGACGACCTCCCCAAGGTGGATACGTTTCACCTGTGCATTATACATCATGACTCTGTAATAGAAGCCCTTCAACTACCAATGCGCCAAGAAACAGATTTTCAGCCAGCCATGACAGTAACATTTTTCAGTTGATTTATCATTTTCTACAGTAAATGTTGACAGCCAGTGATCCTAAAGTGAAAGGTGCCACTTCAGATGTATTTGCAAAGTGCTGTGAGATCTCATAGGATGGAATGATGGAGGAATTTCAGAGACAAGACTACCAGGGAAAAAGTTTCCTTCCTCCTAAAATCAGCTCTACTGAAGAGGGCCTCTAATTGGGTTAGTTATTCAAGGCTGAATTCATCATTTACAAGATTAAAGAACCGGGATTAGGACTAGAAGCAATTAAAAACCCATCAGTTTGCCAATATAACCAAGTGAAAACTGGTCAGCTAGTCGTTTAATTGAGGCTAGACATTGGAATCAGTTGAAAACTTAAAGACACAGCTAGTGTCCGGGCTCCACTGCCAACAGTCCAAATAAAAATTTATATTCATAAAGGACAACTCTTTTGGAGAAGGTGAATACCAATACTGTTTTCCCATTTCATCTTTTAAGTAAAAATAAAAACAAGCTATTGCCTTTGGACCCTTTGGGACATTCTCAGTAACTTAAAATTTGCCTTCATTCCCTATCACTCAACACCTAAGCACAGCTTTTTAAAAATTTCTAAGTAAACGGCACTAAAGCCCTACAGCAGATTAGCTTTCAAGTTGCATGCATTTTAAAGTACTTTTATTTTTCTAGACATGTTTTGTAACTTTCATTAGATTCCTAAAATGGAGCCCATAACTCAAAGGTTAAGAATCACTTAGAGAACTAAGAAACTAAACCCAACTAATAAATTATAAATTGGGCATTAAAATGGAAGTTTTATACTAAAATTTCAAGATTGGTAATACACTAACCCACGGAGAGAATTTAACTGCAAATTGAACATTAGAAAACAGGTGAAAGATATTTATACATGAAAAGGCAACATCATTTCAGTAAGCTGAGAAAAACTGGTTGGAGACTCCTAAAATAAGCTCTATCAAAAGCTTTTCAAGTTTCTCATGTTGTAACACATAATCCTGAGAATTCTTTAACAGCCACTTGTTTTCCCAGTTTAGAAAGCTACTCTCCAATTTCAATCATGTATATACTTGACATTAACAGTATTACTTACATGCTCTATCAAAATGTTCCTCAAAAGCAAACATTAAAAATCATGTGAAATCACATGCAGCTCTTCAGTAGAGCTGATTTTAGGAGGAAGGAAACTTTTTCCCTGGTAGTCTTGTCTCTGAAATTCCTCCATCATTCCATCCTATGAGATCTCACAGCACTTTGCAAATAGTTCTGAAGTGGCACTTTTCACTTTAGGATCACTGGCTATCAACATTTGTTACTGTAGGAAGTTATAAAAGTAGCACTTTCACCTCTATTCGAAACAAATTCTTTCCACATTTTGCCTAAAACACAGTTGAATTAACATGTGAGGTAGACTGTATTCAAGAATAGCACCATGAATTTAGGAATGCTAAAGCTATTTTTATGTGATATATTGGTTTTCATATTCAAAGTCTTCTCATTTCTACACAGTCTTCACTTGATGCGCAACTTAAAAGGCAAGATGACTGAATCTTCTCTTAAAAAAACATACATAGCAATTTCACAGAGGAATTCATTTAATGAGTTTTTTTTTGAAGTTAGGTAGGTATTCAAGCCCACATATGATGGGACTCTTCCAAATGTACTTATTTGCTTCATTTAACACTTTCACAAGGTGGCTTCTGAGTGCCCATAGGTTGGGTGATATAAACAGTGAAAGAAGAGAAATGTCAGGTGGTATACATTGTCAGGAACACAACTTTTAGTCCTGGCACTGATTGAACAAATCACTTTGGGTCTCTACTTCTCTGTTCTAAAAAGAACTGGATAACTTCCGTCTTCCCAAGTGCAAATTTCAAATGAATTCTAATCTGTAAATTAAATGTAAAGTACCTCAATAAGCACCTGTGATATTAAACTAATCACCCAATCCAAAGAACCAGCTAGGGACTCAGTACACCCACTGACAATGAGCTGCCATTACTAAGAAACCCAGTAAGGACCACTGACTATTACTAAGTCCAATTCTAGTTTACATGTTTAAAATTCACTTGTCATCTGGGCACTGAGACACCCCTGAACACCAAGTTACTCAGTTACTAACATTTTATCAACTTTCACAAAAATATTTTTTTTTAAACCTTGACAAAAGGGGGATAAGGCCAACACCCAGCATAGAGGATTTAATCCAGTATTTATTCCACACTCATGATCGTTCTCTGTAATCAGAATACAAATCATAAGAACAATCTATCAAATAATTTGCTGACAATCTCAAATAATGCAGCATAGCATTACTTTTAATACTTCTGTTCTAGATTAACTTTTAAAACTCAAACAGCAATCTTCATTATCAATAAAAAAAGTTCTGAATTTTAAAAAAAGGACACTATACCAAGCTGTTACTCATAATTTAAGTATTTTCCATTTATAAAAATGCTTTGAAAGCTTGCGGCTTAAATCTGTTTTTCTACTACCTGCCCCACCCTCTCCCAATATCATGTTAGTACAGGGGTGCTGCAAGAATGTTAGGCTTTAGACATTAATTTTTCCTTTAACATAGTACTTTAAAATCTGAGAAATCCAAGAAAAAAAGGTTGCATGTCATGTATTTTTTTCAAATAAAAAACAACTGGGTGAGCAAATTTTAGGCATACTAACAGTGTCCCTTTGAGGTAGAATGCTAAAAGGACTTTTGATCAAATCACAGCCTAATTTAAACCTCTGCATCAGAAACTAACTTCTCATAAATTCTCTCTAAAGTTAACTGTGGAGAATATGAAGTATAACATATTAACAAGAGCCTTCCAAGATAATATACAGTGGACAAGAATGTTAATCCTACAACTGCTGCCTTCATGTACATTGAAAGCACGTAATTCTCCTATAATAGACATCAAAGATCCATTCTCAAAGTCTTTAGCATTCTATTAGGAAAAGCACAGCCATGCTAACTTCAGTACACAAACCATAATCCCACACCTACAAAACAAAAATAGAATTAGTGGCAGTTTATTGCCTTATACAAATTTAACCAACATGGCAACCATGCCAAAGGAATTAAAACATTTTCAGGACATATGTACAGACTGTACATCTCAAAATCAAACGATAAAAATGCAAGAACAATCTGCATCATGTATCAAACTCAACAACTGGGTGAAAACATCAATGCAATAAATGGGATTACAAAGGCACTTCCCTACACAGAAGAGGAAATGAAAATGCAGCCTACAGGGAGCTTGAAGAGTGCATTAGCTACTGCACAATCTCAACTCAGGAAGGGGGAAAAAAGCAGATTTAATCAAACATTTATAGGATTCAATGTGATCCACTTTTACAAAAAAACTTTCACGGAGTCTCCTCTTTGTTTTTATGCTGTTTTTCTTGGCTCTCTGGTTCTATACTTGGGCTCCTTCGGCGATCATGTTTGTCAGACTGGTCCTTACTATCACTGTGATCTCGTTTGTGGGAACGGTCTTTGCTTCTGCTACGCTTTCTAGATTTTTCTTTGCTGGGGCTGTGTTCCCGTTTTCTTGCTTTCTCAACACTGTCAGTTCTTCCTTGACTGCCACTTCGACTTCGCTTGTTTGGTTTTTCTTTACTGTCATTTTTATGTTTACTTGGTTTTTCTTTGCTCCTGCTTCTACTTCTTTTCCCTGCATTTCTGCTTCTGCTTCTGCTTCTGTGCTTCCTTTCTCTGCTTCTACTTCTGCTGTGCCTTTTCTCTTTCTTGGAATCTTTTTTGTCATCTCTGTGCCGCCTATCATCTTTGTCTTCTTTATGTTTCTTGTCTTCTACCTCACCCCTACTTCGCCGTTCCTTAGACCGTTCTCTCTCCTTTTCTCGGTCATTACCTCTTTCCTTGTCATAGTCTCGATCTCGTCTTCTACCTCTTTCATTTTCTTTCTCTCTTTCCCGATCCCTGTCCCTTCTATCCCCCTTCCTATCACGACTTCGACTACGACTTCTATGCCTTTCTCTACTCCTGCTACGCCTCCGTTCCAAGCCCCGATCAATACTTCGAGATCTTCGCCTTTCTTTCTCCCTTTCTTTGGCTTCACGCTCTAGTCGCTGGCGTTCTTTCTCTCTTTCTAATTCTCGGTCAAAACTAGAAGACCCATGGCCCTCCCGATGATGGCTTCTACTTCTTGATCTTCTTGGGGACCTCCGTGGACTCAGTGATCTCCTGGGAGACCTAATATTTGAGGAGAGAGAAGAGAATTTCAATGAATAAAGCATACTCTAAAACTTAATTTTCATCAGTGTCATTTACTTAGGTTCCCAAGTTACATAGCATGTCAATAATAATAAAGGCAAAAAATTTGCTAGTTCTCATTTACAGATGCATAATTTTGTTGAAAATGCCCTGAAAGGCAGAACACAAACTAATAAAATGTAGACTACAAACAAAATTTCCAAAGAACTTGCCACTGATTGCCAAGGACCTTTGTGGAGTATAAAGCATACCTTAAAAATAAGTGCAATTGAAGAGTTACATTACCTTGAACGTCTACGTTCAACATGTCTGTCTATTTCCTCAGCACCTTCCTTCCCATCTTTCTTGATTTTTCTAGGCCGGGTTTTAATCTGCTGATCAATATTCTTCTGAACTGGAACAGGAATTCTTGGGAACAGGGTAGAAAACCACTCCAGTTTTGTGAGAAAAGACCGGAGCATTTCTCCAATGGTCATTACACAGCCTCCACCAGCTTTCACATCTAGGTCCTACAGAAACACAAAAGATACCCTAGCCGTCAAAAAAAGTATTTCAACCAAAACATGAATACTATAAAAAATATTACCATCTTTGGAATCTCACATACAAAAAAATTCTACTGGAAAAAACTTCAATTTGTGTACCCTTCTAATCTGGTAATGAATGATACAAACATTCAGGCTCAGTGTATGCATGCAGGTGAGAACGACCCCTGCAGCCTCATGGGGACAGACAGAGCTGACCTCACTCAGTTAACAAGAACATGGAACAGCCCCTTAGAGAATCAAACTACGTGGAACAACCAACTTAAATTTACATTCCACATACCTACTAAATAATATTTCTTTCTGTGGACATGTTTGCACACATCATTCCTAGCACTGTAACCTAGCTACATATAAACTACTTCAAATAATTTCTGTCTAAAGTTTTTCTTTTAACAACTATTAATATAAAATGAAGCCCTAATAAAACTGGAAGCAATAGCAAACCAACTGCCATGAAGCAGTGAGGTTTCTAATTTAGAGTTATGTAGAAAATAAATAAATGAACAAATAATTGGAAACGCATAATCCATGATGACCATTGTCTCTGAAAAGGGTCATTACCGCATGAAGGCCTTCTTGCTATGCCCTCTCACAGCTCAGGACATGTTAGTCAGCTATTGTCAGTCCCAAACCTATAGTGCAAGCACACAAGGAAAGTGAGATTTGTTATCTAAACAGGAAAACAAGAGCTAAAGGTAAAACTGCTTGCACTCACACACATTTAAGTGTTCAGATATACAGTATTTCCAAATATAATCGCTGCAGATATCTAAGGAAGAAAACAATAAGTTAGCTTAAGTAGAGATCCTCAGGTTTGTAAACACAGTAAAAAAACAGATTAAATAGAAGCATTCAGAAACAAACCTAATGCAATACCAATTATGAAGAGGAGACAGACACGCTTTTTAAATATAGAAGGGAGAAGTGCTTTGGCCTGAAAAATCTCATCTAAAAATAAAAGACTTTATGAAGATTGTGATTTGTCACCTAACACAGTTTTGCTTCTCCTGAGATAGTAAGTAAATAGCTCAATGAAAAGAGCACCCCCCAAATAATACAGAGAGAAGTTCTCCATGTCTACATGACTGAGTTTTTTTTAGGTGTGCATGTAATAGTAAAAACACACTAGGAAGATTTCTATTACAATTATCCTTTAAGTCAATGAATTCTTTGGCAAACTTTTAAACAGGACTACTGAAACACAACACTCAGTTTATTTTGTGAACCTTAAAATATAAATTAGTGGTGGGGGAAGAAGTATTTTTTGAAATTTTGGACTTCACCATGTAGGTTTATTAATACATATGAGATTTAAATCTCACACAGTGATGTTTCCCAAAGTAACTTTTCCCTTCTGAACATACATAACAAGTTCAATCCCATTAAGCTTGAATGGCAAACTAGATTTATAATTTTATTTTAAAGTTTAACAACTAGTTTAAATGAAAGTTTTCTTTCCAGCTTTATAAATATGTTTAATATAACAGGAGTCAGAAAGCTAGAAATGAAGTATTTTGGTCACCTTAAAAAAGGCATCCAAACAGCCAATTTAGTCCCACCTAGCTATTCAATTCTGCACATCTATCCAAGTGGTAACATTAATATTTGGAAGAAGAGGATAAAGAACTGAAAAGTTCCAAGAAAAAAAGCTGTATTAGTATTATTCTATGTGCATGTCTTATCACTTCAATCTCTAGCATGGCCCACCTTAAGAAGTCACTATCAACTATACAAGAGCAGTGCAATACACAGAATACAGGAAGAGAAAATTTCAAGTCACCAAAATACATTAAATCATTAAGAAATAAGAAAATGTAAGAAATTTCACCTAAGATATAAAAGAATGCATCAAGTCTTAGTAAAAGGACATTAATTATTAAAGTATTTCAGTGAAATATATTTAACTACAATAAATTCTAGAAGACATTAAACCTATGTAAGAGTAATCAGAAGAAAACTAATTATTACCCTTGTTGACATACCTCTTCATCATCAAGGAAGGATTCAAACCAATCCCACAGATCTGTAGGGGGCTGTGTGTACCTAGAATTACAAGATCGATTAGGCTTAAGTGAATTATAATGAGATACTGATTGGAAATGCAGATAAACACTTGCTCACCTTATATACATAAATCCAAGGGCTCTAATATATGGAGAGTCTGTGTGCGTTATGAGACCCATCACTTGCTTGCGAGTTAACTTTAGAGTAAATAATTTGTATAACAAGCAAAAAGCTGTAGAAACAATTCCTCCTGTTCCAACACCTCGAACCTTTAGCGGAAACAGAGTTAAGAAAAAGAAGCAAAATAACTGAGAGATAGTTAACACCAATTGAGTAATCCTGTTAGATATTAACAACAGGAGTAACAAATATACTCCAGAACTAAGAATGGAGCATAAAAACGTAATACTTGTCTAACCCCATTTATCAGGCACTTGAATTTAGATTAAAAAATAAAAAAAGGGCTTCTAAGACTTGTCAATTGACTGTCATTTGAGGAATTGTCAGGCTTTCAATTTTCTAAATATAAACTTAGTTATTAGACACAGAAATACTGAAAAAATGCACGTACTTCTACTTACCCCTCCGCACATCCCTGTTTGGCCTGCCGTTTTCCTGCTTCCTTTCTCCCATGGTTCAACATGTGTGACCTGAAAATAGAAAAGAGGAACACAACAAATATTCATACTTTGAATTTTTGTTTTAAGTGTGATTAAAGTGAACCCAAGTCTACAATAGAGCAGCTCTTCCAAAAGTTTGGAAGATATGTTAGTGAGTACCAATAAAGCCACTGGGGTTTAACAAAACCTCAACAGCTTTACAGAACAGAAATCCCATTCAAGTAGCTTTGTGGAGAAATCCCATTAAAGGATACATGTAGCTGAAACATGTGGAGCCAGGAATTTCTAGTCTCAAACACTTATTAAAAACACTTGGTAATACTATCAGCTTTGTATCTTATCATGAGTTTCTTCTAAAAAATCTCAGTTTAAAATGAACTTAAGGATCCAACCTAAAGCAAAACTAATAATAAAGCTTAAATATTTATTTCAAAAAAACCTTTTTTAACCTTTAATAGTTCAATCTTACAGTGCTTTAAAATTCATTATAAAATAAAAATATTTTAAATAAAAACTTGACGTATGCTAAAACAGTAACAGAAGGTACTTTTGATGCAAAATTATGGAACCTAATGCATGTATATATGTATTTTTTTTACCATGATCAGGCATTATGTTCATTCCTGATTAAAGTTGAAATTACAAAAGCCACACCTACACAGAGAACATTCCTGCTAGTTAGTGTACAATTTATTTTCTGCCTAATCCTGTGAACCAATTCAATTTTTTTCCCAGAATATAAACTGTGTCAAAAGCTAAGTAGGACTAGTCATTATACTCAATATCACCTTTCCTAAGGTGGGTACCCTTTAAAAACCACAAACTTACCCTAAAAATAGCAAAGAAAATTAACTCTGCAACAGATAAAACTCAAGGTGTTTTATAAAGGTTAAGATATCTATTTGCTTCTTAATTTAAATATAAAATGGTGTTCTTTCACTATGTATTTCCAAAACTGTATTTCCACCCACCCATGGTTACATTTTCCACTCTTCAGTGGCTGCAGCCAGGAAAGCATGCATTTAAATATAAGCACTACACTTTTGCTCAGGGGACTCCTGTATTGCTTTACTGCTTCACGTCCTGAGCCTCCAGCTTGCTGTATGTAAAAGATGTTTCAATTACTTAAAAGCTACCCAAAGGGGTGGATGCAGCACAAGATGGACTTACAAAACTGGAAGTCTACATATTTCAATAATTATTTAATCTGGACATATGAACAAAACCAAAATCTTCAGTTTTATAATTAAATTGAAATAATTTCTAGTACAATCTTGTTTCAAAACACAGTATTTTAAATTTGAAAACAAATTTTTCCTCTATTGCATTAACATTTGTCTGCCATTAAACAGAATCTGCCACAGCAAGAGCAGGAAACCAATTTTCGACTGTTTGAAGTTTACTACACAAATACAGCTAAGGGTTAAATATTCGCCATATTGTATCCATGGTGAAAAAGACCTTACCTTTTAAAAGCTAAAAAACTAGTTTGTAGTATTACAATTACTTACAATACTCTTGTAAGAGGATATCAAAATATCCGTATACTTTATATACCCAAAGTTGAACTGTATTTTCAAAATACGGTTTTTGTATCAAAAGGAACTTATTCCCCTCCCCCCACCCCGCCTAAATCCCCATAACCTCATGACTTAACTGGGGTGGGGATGGACAAAAACATAACCTAAAAGCAAACAGCATTTTCTTTTGTTAGCACCCTTACAGATATGTGCAGATCACAGAAAATATGCGGTCTGTTAAGTGTTTTAAGTGTCAAAAGAGACAAAACGGATTGTATTCCATTAGCAGCTCTAGCTTACATATTTAAAATCTTTAAGGCTACCAGTAATATTCTTTAAAATACAAACTAACCTTAGGAGGCCTGGAAGGTATTTCTTAAATTACATAATTTGCAGGGAAGTGGAGAAAGCCTATCTAGTCTAAGGAAAGACCAAAACCAATGGCCAAAAAAAAATCTAATTAGCCGTTCATTTAACCAGGGAAATGCATACATGGCGATTGAGCATGATTAATAGTGCATACCTCTACCTGCGACCCTGGGCTGCTCCGAGCCTCGCTGCAAGACTGAGTCAATCCTGCTAACGAAACAAGAACTGAGACAAGAGTGCAGTGAGGAGGCGCCAGGTGAGCTCCCCAGCACAGCCAAGCCAGCACCGACCCTGCCGCAGAAGCCCAGGGCCCAGATAATTCTAAATAAGCCCAATGCACAGGTAACTGAGACCACTTACTCCTGACTTCCTGCTGGGAAAATTTCCAGGCCTTCTGAATACCTCTTGCACTGGCACCTCTCCACCCTCAACCCTCCAGCCCCGCGCGACATACGCACTGACCATTACCCTGTCTGGACCGGAAAGTGAATACCAACAACACAAGGCAATCACTGAAATCAATACATGCCCTGGCCCGGGGTGGGGACGGGTGCAGCACCAACAAGTTGGCGCTGAGTAAATCCACGTCAAAAGAGTAATTTTAATACTGCAAACTGCTGAAAGGCTTCAGTTACTCTCTTCTCCTCTCCCCCACCCCTCCCGTCCAGATCCCCCTCCCCCCAGAGGTGGGCAGGAGGCTGGGGGAGGAGTGAGATGAGTAGTGGCGGGCTCTCTGTGCCCCGCAAACTGAAAAGGAAATGAGAGCGCGGCCCCAGTCTGACCCCTTGCCGGCCAACAAGACACCGCTCCCCATGCCCCACCTTCCCGCACCTACGGAGCCTCCAGCCTCAGGGGGCCGCCACCGCCCGGTTCCTCCGTATCCCCTCCTCCGAACTTAACCGCCCCCCGGCCGCCGCCCCGGCCCCAGCCGCTTCGTACCTTAAAGTAGATCTCGTCCACTACCTCGTGGTAGGTCTTGAGCTCGTAGAGCTGCACTTTGAAGTAAGGCGACGACAGGATATTGGTCAGGATCATGGGGTTGAGGTTCATAGTCTTCTCGTTGCCCCACAGCGGCAGCACATTGCCCTGCTTGCCCGAGACCGCAGGCTTCGCGGTGCCGCCGCCGCCGCACTGCTGCTGCTGCTGGGCCGCGGCCGCGGCCGCCTGGTGCTGTGGCTGCGAGTTGCCTGTCAGCGCGGGGCTGTTGTTAGCCATGTTGCGGCGGCAGGAAGGAGGGAGGGAGGGGGAGGGGGCCAAGCTCGATCTCGCTCTTCGGGACAACGGTCCGGGACCTACTCCATGGACCGCCGTCGGGAGGAGGGGCGCTCGCTCTGCCCCAGCCGGGTGAGGGAGGGTACCCGAGATACCAACAGATGGACCCCGGTCCAGAGCAAACGCCGAGACTAGGGCCGCGAGAACTCCGGCAGAAGGCGAGCCGGCGGCCCAAGAGCGCGATCTCTTCCGCCAACTGCCCCTGGGAACAAGATGGCGGTCCGGCGGAAATGACGGCACGGGTCCAGAGGTCTAAGCTGAGCCAGCGGCCAATCAGAGACGCCCAGTTGGGCCGGAGATTCCTCTTCCTAGTTCCGCGCGTTCGGAGCACTGTGCTGTTGCTGCTGCGGTCTCCAGTGCCGGGCGCTTGTTGGATTTTTCGCTGGCAATTTGGGGCCGAGGGGAGGGCACTTAGGCCCAATTCGTTTGTTTTAGTATTGGATTAGGGGCCCAACTTCTCCTCTCAAAGGCCGTGCAGGAAAGGTTTCGCATGGCTAGTTGCTTGCTAGTTCGTGACTCTGACTCCCATAGAGTATCCTAGTCTCCGAGTTCAGTTTTAAGATTCCCTGGAAGGGATGTTGGTTAGGACCTCATTCCTTCGTGTAATTCCGATGCAGTGATTACATCTCTCTGCCCTCCGCTGGGCTGTAATGTCCGGCCCGAGGCCTTACCTTCTGAGTCTAAGTTGATTCAACTGTAAAATCAGGATAACATCTTGCTGAGCATTAACAGAACTAGTGTAACTATCGCCTAGTAGAATGCCCCAAGCATTTGTTAGATGTCTTTATCTTTCCTCCCTACTCGAGTTCCATTCTGTGGATGCATTCTGGATGGTAAATACTGAGCGAAGCACTGTGAATGGGGGATGACGGTGAGAAGAGGTGGGGGAGAGGTGTAAAAATGAGGCAGAATTGCTCTCATCTTTCAAAAGGTGCTGTTAACCTAGAGAAGGTTCCTGATGTTTGGGAGTTAAGAGGAGGCTACAAGACGCACTTAGGTTTCCGTAGGTATGACTAGGCTGGGCAGTTTTATCAGCAGAGAGCAGCCTGGGCATAAGGAGAAGGGAAAATCAGGCTTGTTAGAGGGTGACTAGTTCGGTCGACAGGAGCCAGGACGTATGCTTATGGGAGGGTAAGACTGAATAAGGATTGTGCCACTGGGAAGTGCTAAGATAAAACATTTGGAGTTAAATGATATTTAAATTCAGGGGTTGCATAATTACATCTGTGACCCCAAGTCTACTTTAAGATGCTAATATTCCTAATATTCTCTGGCTCCAATCCATTCTTCGCAGTGTTGCCAAATTCATCATTCCAAAAGTGCAGCACTCCCTACTCAAAACCTTTGATGGCTCTCAGTGACATCCTAATTGCCAAAAATCCAATGACCATTTTCATTTTTATCATACTTGATTTCTCTTTGTAGCCATTTTTATCATCTACTCTTTCCTAGAAACCACTGGGGCAGGAAGTTTGAAGATGGAGATCTTAAATTTCAGCGGCTTATTTCACAGAAGAGAGGAAAAGGATAAGACAAATCTTGGGGCAAATCCACACTTGGTGAAGATGAACCATCAGGGGAGAGAAGACGAGAGAAGTAGGAGGCAAACCTGAAGACTGGTTCAGAATGTAAGGAATGATAATTGATAAATATAAGTGAATGATTGGAATGATTAGTATTTAGAGCTGGAGAATACATAAATGATCATTCTATCTAGTTCCTTTATTTTACATTGGGGAACTGAAGCTTTGAGAGAAGTGGGTTTTGCTTCCTTCTTAGTAGAGCTTGTTTTTCTATACATTACCTTACACCAACTTAACTTCCCAAGGAAAATGGCTGATGCCAACCTCTAATGAATTACCAAGTTAAAAATAAAAAGAAATTCAGTTCTTCTTTTTACATGTATTTTTTGCCTTGATAAGATTATTGAATTTACGTAGTGATATTCTAATGGCAAATCCTATGATCTTCAAAACATTTCTTAGCATATATGATCCATGTATTCTTAAGACATTCATTTACCCCTAGATTGTGAGTAAAAAGAGTTCAATAGAGGGGTTGAAGTTTAATAACAAAGTTTCTGTGACATCAACTAAAGGAACCAGACATTATGATAAAGTGCTTAGCATATTCAATGAATCCCTATAACACTGAAAATATTACTATTGTCCTCATTTAAAAAAACTAGTAATACTTACTTTGGGAACACTACATTGCATATGGATAAAACTGGGAAGTTTGGTTTGATCGGTGTTGACATGTGCATACCCATTGCCTTGGTCCATTCATGCTGCTATAACAAAATACTACAGATTGGGTAGCTTATAAACAACAGTTATTTATTTCTCACAATTCTGGAGGCTAGAGTCCAAGATGAAGGGACAGTCCTCTTCCTGGTTCATAGCTGGTCCGTTCTAGTTGTGTACTTATATGTTTGAAGGGGTGAGGGAGTTCCTTGGAACTCTCTTTATAAGAGCACTTAATCTCATTGAACAAAAAAACAATCAAGGGTGTTAGACAAACCTACCCTTGTTTATTAGGTACCTCATGATTTAAGCACTTCCCAAAGGCCCCAATTCCTAATACCATCATTTTTTGGAGGTTAGGATTTCAGCATGAGTTTTCCAAGGACACATTCAGACTTGTTAAACCATGACCACAATCAAGATAACAATCATACATTACCCCCAGCTGTTCTCTTCTGCCCTTTTGTAATCTATCTGTCCCTCTAGCTCCATCTCCAGACAGCCACTCTCTGTCAATATAGATTAGTTTGCATTTCCTTGAATTTAAATTAATGGAATCATACACTATGTTCTCTTTTTGCCTAGCTTCTTTGACTCAGCATAATTTTGAAATTCATTTTTGTTGCTTCTACGAACAGGTTGTAGTTTGTTTTTATTACTGGATAGTATTCCATTATAGGATTTGCCACAATTTGTTTATCCAGTCGTCTGCTGATGAGCATTTGGATTTCTAGTTTGGGCTGTTAAAAATAAAGCTGCTGTGAACATTTGTGTACTTGTCTCTGTATGAACATGTTTTCATTTCTCTTGGCTAAATGCCAGCATGTAGAGTAACTGGGTCAAGTGATAGGTGTTCCAACTTTTTAAGAAACAGTGAACCCTTTTCCGAAGTGGTTGTACAATTTCACATTCCCACCAGTGGTGTATGAGAATCCAGTTGATTCACATCTTCACCAACACTTGGTATGGTAAGTTTTCTTAAATGGTAGCCATTCTAAAGGGTGTGTAGTGGTGTCTCACTGTGGTTTTAATTTACATTTCCCTTATGACTAAGGTTGAACATTTTGTCAGGTGCATATTCACATTCCTGTATCTTCTATTGTGAAGTAACTTCTGTTGTTCCAACTTGAGGCAAGGGAGCTGACTTTCATACATCCACAGCACTCAGTCATTAGCAAAATGCTACCTCAGGGATGTAAATTCTGATACTCCAGCTTTCTGTGCATTTGGGGAAAAGTGCTCTAGTAGCCTCCAGACAGTTAGCTAAAGTGGCTCAACTGTGTCTGGAGTATTCAAGATGGTTCACTCACACGGCTAATAAAAACACAGGTTGATGGCTGTCAGCTGGGGTTAGGAGTGGGGCAGGGGCAGATTTGGTTTCTCTCTAATGGATCTCCCCAAGGGACTTTTTATTCCTCCGGCACAGCATGGCATCTGGATTCCAGGAGTGGGTGTTCCAAGGGACAGGAAGTACAAGTTGCCAGTTTCTTAACATCTGGCCCCAAACTGGCACTTCAGTATTCTATTCATTGGTAAAGCTACAAAACTCATCCGGATGCAAAAGGAGAAAGAATAGACCCTTTCTCAACAAGGATGTTAAAGAATTTGTGCATCTTCATTGTAACACTCCTCCTTCTGGTCACAGACTCTTTACATTTTTTTTACATACAAAAGATAATCACCCCTCCCAAGACCTCCAAATATTTCGTTATACTTAGCATCAGGCTCAAGCTGACATTCAGGATCACTTTTGATCACTTATTACGTGGCAGACACCTACACCTGCTGGACAAGATGAGCCATAAGAGAATGACCTTTGTTTTTTTCACTCAGATCAATATTTGGACTATAATATGTACACTATACATATTTACTGAATGTGTCAACTTATTTAAATCTCATTTTTCAACTGAAAAATTTGACATTCAGAGAAGGTTAAGTAAATTTTCAAATGTTAGAGTCTAACAGTCAAGTCTAAGGTCTATTTGACTTAAAACTTGTGAAAATGCATAATACAATCTATCTCAGTGAGACTGAGAATCTGATGGAGGAAGTAAGATTAGGCCTAATGAGAAAATGAGATGACAAAGGGTAAGCTACGGATTGGTTGTAGGGAGGAACAGATGCAACTGACAGCTTGAGGTAAAGATTTGGTGATTTGGGAGAAGCAGAAATGGCAAAGCCAAGGACGATTTTCTCTCTCAGAGAGTAGGAGACTAAGAAAATAGACTAGGAAAATAAAATAAGCAAATCTGAGACAGAGCTGGACATGAGAATTGAAGTTCAATAATAATCCAACAGCAAGTAAAACAAGAACTCTATATCAGGGACTACTGCACAAATTATTTAAAAAAATTTTTCTTTAAAAATTTCAAAATTGCAGTAAAATATATATAAAACCTACCATTTAAAAAAAGGACACTTATAAAGTGTACACTTCAGTGGTATTGTCTCGTTCAAAGGTTTAAGCTCCAAGCAAGTTCACTATGGTTTCGGTGAGACCAAAAAATGACAAATGAGATTTGGGGGTTTAAAATAGGGGCTCATACCAAGCTTTATTCTCATGGTGGGCAGGTCAAGTGCTAGAATCACATCTGCCTCCATCTCTGCTCCTGGCTCAGCCTCTGCTCCCCTCTCCTGCTCTCCCACGTCCCTCTGTCCTTAGCACCAGGTGGAACTCTTCTAGCAATACCAGTAGTAATGGCTTATTGCCAACAGGTATGCAAACATGTGCTTGTGCAGTAGGTTAAGTACTACCTCATTGCACATACACAATGAGTATCAGGTGAGGATCCTGGCCAGGAACTTCCATTTTCCCTACTGAACACATTTTCACTACTAAGCACGTTCACACCGTTATGACCCATCCCCATCATCCCAAACTGAAACTCTAAACCCTTTAAACAACAACTCTCAAGTCCCTCCTCCTCTCAGCCCCAGGCAACTGCCATTCTACTTTCTATCTCTATAAATTTGAGTACCCTAGGTATCGGATATAAATGAAATACTGAAGGGGAGGAAAAATAATTTTCCTTCTACCCTCTGATTTCTTGACTGATACCCCTGTAATAAAAGACAGATTAACAAAAGAAAAAAAAAGTTTATTGGCATATATATTTCATGCATACATGAGATACCCAAGAAGAACAAGTAACTCCCTAACAAGGCCCAGGCCACCACCTTAAATACCATCTTCTGTAAAGACAAAAGAAAGATGTTGGGGTGGGGGCGGGGAGGCTAGGGATAGGACTTACCAGGAAAAGCACAGTAAACAAGCAGTAAGGTCTGTTTTGCAGATTTGTATCAGTGTCTTCTCCATTGACAAGATTCTTGTGATTTAAGCATCTTTCTCTGGCTGGTATAGAGAGGGAGACAGCCTTACAAATAGAGACTTCCTTTTAAATGTAAATTTCCTTAGCTTCCCCTGTGTTTTTAATCAACTTGAGTCAATCCTTATGCCAAGAGGCGTATTTTAGGGTGGCATATTCTGTTACTCTTCATTCCTGCCTTTGAAATTTCCCAGTAAGTCTCACAGTCCAGAGCTTGAGTTGGTAGATTGTTCCATATCTCGCTGAATCCGTCTCTTACTCCTGAGAATGGGTCAGTTAAGTCCAAGATTTGTGTCTCAGTTCGGGAGCTGGTATTGCAGATGGGCTCCTAAAGTTAGTCTATATTGTGCAAGCAATCATATATTTAATAACAGGTATTTCTATGGAAACAAGAGAAAAACAGAAGGTTGTGAAAACAGACCAGAGGGAAGTTAATCAAGATTTCTAGTTGTTGGGCTGGAAGCGTCTTTAGTCAGAGTGAGGAGAGGCAATGGCAGTCTGATAGATTTGCTTGGTTTGCAGTTTGAGTATCTCTGGTGATGTCATAAGGTGTTGCAGTGAACTTTCTGAGTGGCCCACACAGCAAAGACACAAAGTTTGTCCATACACGAGCTGATGTGATTTCTCTGCAGTTTCTATCAGGTCATCCAGCTCCAGCTTTTAGGGCTTTAGGAAAAGGGCAGTTTTTGTTCTTAGTGAATTCAAGTCAGAAGCGTGGGAGCAAACTGGAAACGTTCGAGTCAGATATTGCAGAAACTAGAAGAATTCAAGATTCAGTTCAGTTTGCAGGTAGACAAATTGAAAGACATCTGATATTCACAAAAGTGCACTACTGAAAATTATTTTCTTTCCCCCTACTCCCCTATAATATTTTGTCTTTTTGTGACTGGCTTATTTCACTTAGCGTAACATCTTCAAGTTCATCCATGTTCTAGCATGTCAGAATTTCATTCTTTTTAAGGGTTGAATAATTTTTCATTGTATATATGTCATTTTTGTTTATCCTTTGATGGATTATTTGTTTCTACCTTTTGCTATTCTGAACAACACTGCTGTGAACATTGATGTATGTTATCTGTTCAAATCTCTGCTTTCAATTCTTTTGAGTATATACTGTTAATAAACTGAGGCATATTGAAATTTTTAAGAATTTGAGCAAAATCAATTCAGATCTGGTAGCTCCTACCACTGTCAGAAGGAAATAGAAGAAAGGCTTTATAGGGAAGGTGCCAAAGCAAAGCATGGAAATTATTTGATTCACTAGGCTCTAACAGGTGCCTCATCTGGGAAAGCCTCGCTGGCTGTTTGTGATTGGTTGTCCTGACTTTCCTATTTCTTAGCCCTGAAGCATTTGCAGGCTGAGGTTTTGTTTTGCCATTGTAGGCTGCCCCAGCACTGGAGCCCCTTTAGTCTAACTTTAACTAATTAAGAAATACCCAGAAGTAGAATTCAGTTACCAACCTTTAAAGGTTCTGTTTAAATGATATATTCCATGATAAGGAATACGCTCCTTTAATGAAGGCAGTCTGTTAAATCTGCAGTTTCCCCGGGCCAACAGGAACCTCTCGAACAGTGAAGCTGAACTTGAGTTACCTACTTTTTACTGGGACTAGATTCCTCAAGCATCGTCTTGTATTTGTGATACCTCAAAGCTGTTGGCATAGTGTTTTGCATAGTAGGTATTAAGTGTTTGAAAATACAGTTCCAATATATTTCTTACGGTATATTAACGGATTATTAATTCATTAGTAAACACAAGCTTTTGAGTCTTTTTAAAGTAGGTTCAATTTTTGCCTCCCTTCCATCCCCAAAGAACAGTTTCACTTCTCTCCCTCTCCTTAAAAACTCTTCCATTGCATACAAGAAGAAAAAACTGATTCATAAAGTGTCAAGTTCAATCTCTTCAGAAGGACGATGCAGTAACTTAGTTCTAAGAGATCAGATAGATGTGTCCCCAGCATGCGCAAATTACCAGTTGGAGGTTCGGCGGCTTAAAGTTTTTCTGAGTTGTGATGTTATTGGGCCAACTTTCCCAGCCCAGAGTCCTCTTAAGGCCCTAGTGGACGGACGGTCTGGGCATCCGAGTGGCGGCTGGTCGCTCCCTTGCCGCCTTCCATTGGCCGGGACTGTTTTCAGTTCTTTGATGAGCACGGGGAGAGTCAGTCTCTGGAACCGGCCGACCTGCTCGCGGCCAGCGACGCGCTGGTTGCGGCGCCGCCTCCGTCCAACAGCCGCGACTCCCGTACGGCCGCCGAGGGTCGCAGCAGCCTGCGGGTAGGGGTGTGGCGGGCGGAGGAGGTTCCCCCTCAGGCTGGGAAGGAGATCTGGAAAATGGCTTTGGGGAATACGCCATGGCGGTCGTTAAGAGACGCATAACCGACGCGGCGGGTCCCAGAGCTTGGAGGAATAGGGGTGGGCGCCGGCTCCGGGCACCTCGGGCGGAGGACAGCTCCAAACGCCACGCAGCAGGCACAGGTGGTGTGGGCGGTGCAGGTGGCGTGGGCGGCGCAGGTGGTGTGGGCGCGGGCGGGTTTAGTCACGTAGCGAGACTGCGCGTGCGCAGGCGCCAAGGGCGGGGCCCGGAGTTAAATGGGGCTTCTGTCTGCCGAACCTCGTGGGTTTCGCTGCTCTGTGTCTTTTTTCTATTTGGCTTGATCTTCACTCTAAGACGACTCTTGCTCTGTGAAGGTACCGTTGGGTCGCTTGAGGAGGGCTTCGGAATACGAATTGGAGAAGAATTGAGAAGTTAGCTGATTGACATGTTGCCTGCATTTTAGCTCCGGTTCTAGTAGATAGGAACAGGTGTACAATAGAGAATCAAAATTTAAATTCAAGTCCATCAGTCAGTTGGATAAATGTTCTAACATCGTTAGCGTATCAGTTACTTAGGACATTCTTTCCTTCTGTATTTTGGCCAGGTGTGGAAGAGTAATTGAAAGCAATTTGAGGGAGATTGAGGGCTTTAATGAAATAGGGGATAGGATTGTTTAATTTGTATCAAATTTAATAGTAAAAGGGAAGAATGGGTGTTGTTGCATATACCTGGGTTTGACGTAGTGAAACGTTACTTAGACTTTTTGAGCCTATTTGCTAAAAAAAAAAAATAAATCCTGTGGAATAAATGGTAACATGTAAAAGAAGAAAGCCTGCTCTCCCTTCCCTGTTGATGTAGGGAGCTATTTCGCCCATTTTCCTCCTCTTTGTAAAAACTGTGTTTTGTATATACAGCCAAGTGACTGTTGATGCATAGAGCTTGAAGGATACGTCTACAGTTTTGTTTCAATGAAACGTGGGGAAAACATGGAAGAAAACGGCATAGAGGTAATACTACCCTTAACTGGTTTGTTAGACTCTCAAGAGTTATTCTGGTGATGTACTGTGAGGTAATGAGGAGTAAAATCCATCACATTTAGCTCCTGACATTGTCCAGGATGTTGGCTGAGCTTAACAAGGATGTACATAGATGAAATTTCACCTTTGGTGTATATAAAGTGAAATGTATTTACTTTTATCTCTTGTTTTAAGTAGGAAAATCTATAAGAACTCTGAGTAGTGTCTGTCTAATGTTAATGTGCTCTTGAATCACCTGGCTTCTTTGTTAACTGCAGATTCTGATTGAGGTGGTGTGGGTGAGGCCTAAGATTCTGCATTTTTGATACATTTTCAGATGAAGAGGACACTGGTTTGGGAACCACTTTTGGAGTACCTAGACTGTAGATCTGTGCTTTCCAATAGGTAGCCACTTACCACACAGTGTTATTGAAGACTTGAAGCAGTTGGCTTGTGTAGCTGAGGAATGGAACTTCATTTAATTTTAAGTTTAAAGAGGATACTCATTATACTTCATTATTGGAAAAGTTCTTAAGTATGTTTGGAGTAACTCAGGGTGTCAGTTTACTTTTTTTAAAAAATTTTTTATTAAGGTATCATTGATACACACTCTTATGAAGGTTTCACACGAAAAAACAATGTGGTTACTACATTCACCCATATCAAGTCCCCACTCATACCCCAGTGCAGTCACTGTCCATCAGTGCAGCAAGATGCCCACTATGTGCCTTCTCTGTGCTACATTGTTTTCCCCGTGATCCCCCCACACCATGTGTACTAAACATAATACCCCTCAGTCCCTTCTCCCTCCCTCCTCACCTGCCCTCCCACACCCCTCCCCTGTGGTGCTATTTTGTTCCTTCAGTTTTGCTTCATTGTTATACTCCACAAATGAGGGAAATCATTTGGCATTTGTCAGTCTACTTTTTAAATGTAAATTTTTTCGAGTCCAAATACAGAGCAAACATTTCTGAGGAAAAATTTGGAATTTAGATGTATAAGAGTAAAATACACTGGACTTTGAAGATTGAATATGAAAAACAAGAATGTAGTGTTAAAAAACAAAACTCAACCAAGTAAATTTGAAGATCTAACTGGTTTTAAGCAGCAATTCATGAATCATCCTATCTAGCAAGTAGACAGATGCTCCCAGGAGTTACACAGAATGGAAGGTTTTTATACGCAGGAGGGTGGGACAAAAAGTTATAAGCAAAAGAAGAGATTAGGGGTCGTTTCAGGTAAGGTCACTCTCCATTAGTAGGAGCAGGGGGTCTTTTTTGCAGATTCCCTCACTAGTGACTGGGAAATTCCAGACTGATTGGCATAAAATCCCCTAATTAGGTTGGGCTTTAAGCCCCAGTTTGGTAACTTGGCCTAGCAGAATTGACCTTATGTTGGGTCTGTGTTTTTCTTTTTTTTTTTAATCTTGCTTTCATCTTGAAATGATAGATATATTGTGTTAATAAAATACTAATTACAACTTAAAAACATAAAAAAAATAGGCTACAAGAAAATTGTATATTTGGCTTATATTTTATTTCCATTGGACAGTACCGCTCTAGATATTAAGTGCTGTTTGGACTGTACTCCTTTATAATACTTGTATTTAGGAACAGCAATAACAGCTGTTATGGATTAATCATGATTGCTTTTCTAATAGCATCATGTTAAAGAAAAATTAATTCTGATGATTGTAAAAAGGCTTTATTAGAAAGGAAGACTTTATTTAGAACTGTTTTAATAAGAGCATGCAATAGGGGCGAGAGATTGGGCTCTACTCCACATACAATAGACAGCTGGGGATTCATAGTCCATGAGCAGAGGGGGTCAGTGGATGGAAAAGAGAAATCAAGGTTGGGTGGTTCTTGCTGAAGACAGGCCAAGGTGAACAGATATCAGGGCTGGGGCTTGAGATGTTTGATCAGATATGGGAGTTTGGTCGGGGGTAGGGGGGATTCTCTCTAAACTGACTTAGGATTCTTGCTAAAACTGGGCTAGACAGGACAAGGTGGGTCCAGGCAGAGGCCTCCTCAGAAGCAGTCTTAAAGGAAGCTGACTTCCATTTGGTCAAGGAAAATCTTTGGTAGTAATAACCAGTTTCTAGTCTCCTGCCTGCCCAGTCCCCAGGCTTTGGCAGTTGGCTCCACTGAAGGTCCCCTGTGGCTAGGAGACTTGTTTAAATGCATTCATAAGTAATTTGACTCTAAGCCATAGGAAACAAAGCTAGACTTTCACTTAATAAAAGTCATGGAGGATGCTTAGATGAACTTGGAGGGGATGCAGTGTCACTTAATGTTTTTAGGACATAGGTGGGTGAAGGGCCAATGCGTTCAACAAAGTGATTGGGGGAAATTAAGCCTTTTTTCTTATTTAATTCCTGAAGTCAAGCATGATTAAGAACACTTCCTTTTTTGTTTGTAAACTTCCAGTGTAATAGTGTGGTTGATGGTAACTTTGAAGAAGTTCCCAGAAAGAAGGTAATTGAATTTAAACCTCCATTATACAGACAGCGTTACCACTTCGTTAAAAATTTAGTGAATAAACATCAACCCAAGAAGGTAGGTAATTCTCTTTACATTTAATTATTAACATTGTCTTAAGAAATGTTTTGTCAAACAGAAAACCTTAACAAGGACTTAGCAAAGAAGCAGAGACTATTCTGCTCAAAAAGAATATTGCAAGGAGGGAAAGGGATTTTTGCAATAAGGAGAATGCTGACCATAAGATACTTGTGTTGTAGTAGTTGGGCAAAAAGGGTTTTTCTTTGTAAAGAGGAGTACACTAAGCTAGGAAGAACTGGCTGAGGGGTAGTGGGATAAAAGGGTGGTGTATTTGGATGGTAGACCAACACCTGTTACCCTGAGGCCATCCTATTTTCTAGAAAGGACCCTTGAGTGAGGCTGCCCGTTTGCTCAGGCTGAGGGCAATCCACAGTTCTGGGGTGGGGAAAGGAGAGACGCTTAAGCTAAATTGGGTTAACAAGAACTTTGTTCCAATTAACCAGTGGGACAAGTAGTTAGCTGATCATTCTTGGCAAAGAATGGGAACATGTGGCATCTGTGAGTATAGGGGAAAGTCGTACTTTCCAGAAAGCCCTCTTTGGGAACACAAAGTATAGGTGGATTCCTGTAACTTGTTTACCAGAACAGGACTCAGGCAGAATCAATGGTATTGCTGATTTCAAATGTAAAGAAAATCTTGAAATTTTATAGCTGGATGTGATTTTACGGGTTACATATTTCTAGAGAGTTTATTCAAAACAGGAGGTGAACCAATCTTTGGTCACAGGTATTGTGGTTCTTTATTTTTTCTTTATTGGAAAAAAGTTGATAATAATATATTGGTTTCATATGTATGACATAGTGACTCAGTAATTATGTATATATTACTAGATGCTTGCCAGGGTAAGTGTAGTTCCCTGGTACTGTACCAGCATATGACACTGTCATTGGTTATATTCTGCATGTAGTAGTACTTCCATTCCTATGGCTAACTTATTTTACAGTTTACAGTTTTTACCTCTTTATCCCCTTCACCTATTTCACCCATCCCCTCACCCTGTTCTGAGGTTCTTTTTAAATATGCAGTCATGGGTCTGCTCAGATAGTTTCCAGTGACAGTCCTGATTTCAAACAGTCTACTTATATTTGGCAGTAGATAACTGGTTACTAAGTTATGGATTGGATAGTCTGGATGGGGAGAAGATGCTGGTAAATTGAATTTCTAAATGGAAGTGTTTTTTTTCCTGTTTTACCTTCAAGATTCTGTGTGTGAAGGCTTCCCTTACTTCAGCTTCTTCCCTGTGGTTTTACACTTGCATACCACCTTGCAGTGACTTGTTTAAATCCTGTAGCCAACATGGCACAAGTATTCAGTTGAAGCATTTCAGATTGCCTTTTTGTTGGTCCCGAGTTCAGTACAGTTTTTCATATGGTTTGACCTAAAGTTTTGTTAAATAGGAAATTAAACGACTATCTCCTGTATGAGAAATGAAAGTAAAGAAAGTTTTCCTTTTGCTGAAGCATGATGCTGAGAGTATTTAAGTTTCAGATTTTGATTCTGAATGGGAGAAGTGAGCGTGGACCTAATTTTTTCTCATTCGTGTACTACAAACACTAAGTTGTTCTGGAATAAGAGTGGTTGTGTCTGTGAAGAAATGAGTTTCCCTTCTTTGAAAGGGAATTACGTATGCTAAATCTCAAAAGGGAAATTAAAATCATCCCAAGAACTCTTCTCTACACACTGGTTCCTTTCTTTGAGCTCTTTTCTTGACCAATCCAAATTCAAACCTGCTTTGAATCTCTCCAGTCTTTAAGGTAAGTTTGTTACTTTCTGATCGCCTGCAGTTACTTTATGATCACCTTGCTCTTGAAAGCTTTGCTGTTAGTGGTAGTGGGTAGGGTGAAGGTAGTGGGTGGGGTGAAGTGGGAAGGGGTCCCTGACATCCTCATTCCCTTTGTACCAATGGTTCATGATCAGGGTTGGCACCATCTGCCCACTGGATTCTGTCTGGTCCTGCCTCCCTTCTGTGTTCATTGTAGAGTGTGTGGGATTTCCTAGGACCAAGAGAGTCCATGGACTAGCCCAGTGAACCTCTGAATTCTGCAGCATCAATTATTTAGCTATGCAGGCTAAAGAATGATAGACTTAGGAAAAATGGTTAGTAGTTTAATTCTTTCTAAAGAGTTACATAAAGTGAAACACCACGAACTTCTTTTTGCTAGGTTATTTGTGGCTATTGAAGGGCTCATGTTATATCCTGCTTATTAATAAAGTTTCAGCTCAATTCCTGCTTGAAAGAAATTGAGTATACTACATAAAAGCATAATCTAATGCTCTTAATGGTAAAATTTACTTTCTGGGACAAGGTTTTTATTTTTTAATTCTGTGTTCCTCTCCTCCCACTGTTCCATAAATGTACAGACTTCGAAAAAGGAAAATTACTGAATGAGACCAAGGGTGTCACATTGAGATAGACTGCAGGGTTTACTAATATGTTTAAGGAAAAGGGTCTGTAGTCAAATACATTTGAGGAAAAATTGGGTTAAAAAAGATAGAATGTGTCTTTATTCCTAAAGTTATAGTATGAATTTTCAAAGGGAAATTCACCTTCTCTGGAAAACAACCTGGTAAATGCTGCAGTAGAGAATTGATCTTAGTTTTACAGAGTGCAGTTTTCTGATGGAATGAATTTTGAGATAATTTTAATCTGTTAGTTTTAACCCTTTGGAGCCTATTGTGTGTGTGTGTGTGTGTGCATGTTAAAACAATACATGGGATCTTCATGAGTGAGTATCCAGAAATAGTTCATAACCCACTTAAGGCTGCATATGAGCCAATTAGCTATCCTAGGAGCTGATTTTTAATTTTTTTGGTATGGTTACTTTAAAATGTTTAATATGAGTTTTATCTTCATTTGCTCTTTTTCTCATAAAGTGGGGCTCAGGGATTTAAGTGATTCAGCTATGGTTGATGAAGACTTTATTGTATGATGAAGAAAATCAGATTTAATAAAAATCTATAAGAATGCGTATCAATGCATTTAGGCGATTAGATTAGTCAGATTGTCCATATGAATTGTAAAGTCCTGGTCAAGATTAGGCTCTGTCCTTACATGCCTGGTAGGTAACCTTTTTTGTTTTAAATTATGAAGCTGCTCAGAGGTACAAAGTTTCCTTTTTGGGGATACCTGCCTGCCATGTGTGGTGTTCCTGTGCCAGGCTCCTGATCAATGATTTACCTGTACTCATCTGAATTACGAGTTTCTTATAAAAGCCCAAACACTCTTTAGTAAGTCAAGGGAAGTTACCAGGATTTATCCCTCTACCCTGCACCTCTAGGCTCATAATATCTCAGATTAATTTCCTTTTTGCGTACTTTTTCTATCAAAAAAGATCTTTTCATATAATGATTTTATTAGGGCTTTATTTCTGATACCTACTTGTCTCAAAAAAGGTTTTATCATATTTAAATGTCCTTGAAACAATGTTCTGTTTCATCTGCAGGTTGCAGACTTGGGTTGTGGTGATACTTCACTCATATGGATGTTAAAATTCCACAGTTGCATTGAACTGCTTGTCGGAGTAGATATTGATCAAGCTACGCTGCAATGGAGAAAGTAATGCCTAGATTCTGAAAGAATCGTGCATTAATCTGAAAGTAGTGGCACAATTATACTTAAAGGAAATGTCAATTTTTTATAACTTGTTTTAAAAGATTGATACTATGAGAGTCTGGAGCTCACCAAATGACTCTGTCATAACACTAATTGACTATACATTGTGAATAATACCTATGTTATACTTCTACCATGCAGAGGGTATGGTCTTAATTCCAGTAGTCAAAGCATACTGGATAACTTGTAGCAAAGGACTTAAATTGCCTCATCTCCTTCAGTTTGAATCAGAGCAGCTGTCCAGTCTCATTCATACATGTGTACATACACACATAAATAAAATTAGACTTAAATGGATTGTTTCAGGAATGTTTTTATTCTAAAAGAACAAAAAGATGAAAGTCATTGATCCAAACTGAGCTAGATGACCGAAATTATTAATAATGAGAGCAATAGCAATGTTTAAAATCTTGTTTTCATTGGCCACTTCCCTGTGTGAGAGGAAGTTCCCCTATGATCTGGTGCTTAACACATCAAGTCATGGAAGGCAGGCTTTGTCAGACTTAATGCAGGTAGAAGATAACTATCAGAGGAGGAGACAGTTATCAGAATTCTATAGTTGATGAGATATTCTGAATAGATGATTGTGTTCAGATGTCCCTTACTTTTACAATAATGCTTTTTGCAGGAAGACATTGTCTCCAGTCATGGGGGAATATCTAAGTCCCCGGGATCTGGATTTGACTATAACCTTGTACCATGGCTCTGCTGTGGAGAGAGACTCTCGTTTGCTTGGATTTGACTTGATAACATGTATTGAATTGTAAGTATTAAACTGATTCTTACTATATAAATTTCATTAAAAAATATGAATTAGTCTCAGTAAACTTGGTGAAGGGACTTCCTCTGGGGTCAGTTTGCCTGGTGCTGTGTTCAGATTGATTTTCAATTTTTAGTAATGTGTTCTGCAGAGCGGAGTTTACTTTTTATGTCTTTTCTATTACATATTGCTTGCCTGGCACATGGTAGGCACCTAAAGAGTGTGTGAAATGACTTATGGAAAATGTTAGAGCATTATTTTTTCATTGTAGTGATATATACAGAACAATTTACCACCTAAACTTTTTTTAAGTGGCATGAAGATTTATTTGCACTGCTGTGCAGTCATCACCACATCTATAGAACCATTTTTTGTCTTGCAAAACTGCAACTCTGTGCACATCAGCAATGACTCCCCATTACCTCAACCCTCCGCCCCTGGCAACCACCATTCTGTCTCCTGTCTGCGTGAGTTTGACTGTTCTAGGTTCCCTGTATAAGTGTAATCATGTAGTATTTGTGGTTTTGTGACTAGCTTATTTCACTTAGCACAATGAATGTCTTTAAGATTGATCTGTGTTGTAGCTCAGGTCTGAATTTCCTTTTTAAGGTTGAATACTATTCCATTGTGTGTATATACCACAGTTTGTTTATCCATTCATTTGATTATGGACACTTGCATTGCTTCCACATTTTGGCTATTGTGAAAATGCTACTATGAACATGGGTGTACAAAATATCTGTCCCTGTTTTTAGGTATTTTGGATAAATCCTCAGAAGTGGAATTGCTGGATCACACTAATTCTATTTTTAAATTTTGGAGGAAGCTTCATACTGTTTTCCATAGCTGATACACTATTTTATGTTCCCACTAATAGTGCACAAATGTTACAATTTCTTCACATTTTTGGCAACACTTGTTATTTTTCTTGTTTTTTTGTTTTGATGTCTCATATCCATTAGGATGGCTATCTCATTATGGTTTTGATTGTTTTTACCCCTAAGGCTTAATAGAGGATCTTTTTCATTTGCTTTTTGGTCATTTGCATATATACATATGGTCATTTGTCCCCTTTAGAAATATGATTTGCAAATATTTCCTCCTATTCCTACATTCTCAGTGCTTTTACACTGGATTAAATAAGATGGTATGGTTAATTTTTGCTAAATTCTATTTTGTAGCATGTGTGATACTCTTTTTTCTGTTCAGTTGGGCTTAACTCCTAAAACCTGCTCTCTTGGGTCTCTGTGTAGTTCTCCAGTAATTCAACAGAGGTTTTTCTTTCTTTTTATGCCCTTCTATCTTCTACACTTTCCCACCTCCCCAGATTGTTATCTAGGTAAGTCAGTTTAAAGAGGGGTTCCTGCCAGAGAATCTTACTCTGTTCTATGTCATTACATTCATTATTTATTAGTTATGTCTACATAAATCCTTTGGTCCTTTTATTTATTCCTTTTATTTATTAATTACTATGAAATTATATACATGTAACAAGTCTTCTAGTGCTTGTTTTCCCTTTCAACTTCCTACCTGCACCTTGAGCTTCTCCTTTACCTTTCTTGTCCTTAAAAAGGCAATTTACCCATTTCAAAAAATGGGTTACACTTATATATGATAACATTCTACAAGTACAAATAATAAATAGTAAAATCTCCTTCTTTCTTTCAGCAACCCATTTTCCCTCCCCAAGGCAGTCACTGTTAACACTTTGTTGTGTAGACTTCCAGAAATAGCCCGTCCAGTACAAATACATGTATGCACTTCAGTTTTCTTTATACAAGTGATAGTGTACTGCACATTGTATGTACCTTATTTCTCTTATGAGAATATCTGGAGATCTTCCATGTCAGACCTCAAGTGCTGCTGTATTTTATTGCTGTACATTTCCCACTATCTGAATATAAACATAATGTGCTTAGCCAGTGTCATGGGAGGAGTGCTTAGGATTACCTGATGTTTTGCTATTGCAATACATGACTTTGTATATTTCTCAGCTTTGCTCGTATATCTGTAGTATAAATTCCTCGAAGTAAAATTGCTGAGTCAAAGAATGTATTTGTGATTATGATAGCCTTTTTAGTTAGGGGGAAAGTTGAGATGGTAGAACACAGGCCCAAAAATAGCAGTTTAAAGAAAGTAGAACCTTATTTCTCTTACCTTATCTGAGCGGTCCATGATTGGCAGTGGTTTAACTCTTTGAAGTCAGTCAGGAGCCAGATTCCTTCTGTCTTGTTTTACCAGCCCCTGGAGTCACAGGCACATTCTTGTAGCAATTCACAGGAGAGGGGAAAATCAGAGAGGCATGTGTGACAGATGTTTATGACCCAGACCTGGAACTTTCACTTCACTAGTGAGAACTTAGGCTTGTAGTCACACCTTGCTTGAAAGGAGACTGAATATATCCTTTAATTGACAGCCGTATGCCTGTGACAACTCTTGTAGGTGAAGAAGAGTAGCATAGACGTGGTGGGCACTGCTAGTTGTCCACCTGCAAGCTGCTGCCCAGCTGCTGTCCCTAGTGCCTCTGTGGCACACTCCTACTGCCGCGTAGGAAGGCCTGCTTTCCTTGTCCTCCACCGGCTCTTTTACAGCCTTGTCCTTTCCAGCTTTCTACCTTTGACAATCTGATAAAGGAGTATAATACAATCTCAGTGAAGTTCTGATTTATGTTTCTCTTGGAGAAAAGGTAAACACCTTTCACATGCTCAAGTGACATTTTTTTCTCTGAACCATGTATCTTTAATGAATTTCACTATTGGGTTTATGATATTTTTCGTACCGATTCATATGCTCTCTTAGTACATTAGGGGAATGAATCAGTTACCCATGATACAGATTGCTGACATTTCCTCCAATGTCGGTTTTTTTTTAGTAGTTAAAAAAACAGTATGATTACTATTTTTGGGCAGAGGTACAATTCTGTGGCACATGTGTACTTTATGTGACCATCACTCAGCATACAGAACAGTTCCATCACCCCATACAACTCTACCTGTTTGTGGCCATCCCTGCCTGTCCCTCTGACCCCGGCAACCACCGCTTTGTTCCCTCTCATATACTTTTATTCTTTTGAGAACATGGTGATAATCATACAGCATGTAACCTTTTAGGCTGTTTTCTTTTGCTCAGTTAATGCCTTTGAGATTCATCCAGCTCCCTGTCAGTGTCATTGGTTTTTTCCTTTTGGTTCCTGAGTTGTATCCCATTGTATAGCTGTGTCACCTTTTCAGCCATTTAAGGACATTTGGCTTCTTTACAATGTGGGGTGATTATAAATGGAGATGTTATAAATATTCGCATACAGGTTTTGTGATAACACAAGTTTCATTTCACCTGGGTGTGGGATAACTGGGTCATACGCTTTAGGTGTGTGTTTTGCTTTTTAAATGTTTGCTCTGTATTTCCTCCCATCTACTGATTGGGTTTCATTTGCTGTCTTACCCTAACTTTTTGAAATACGTACTTGCTTATTTTTTTAGCTTTTCTAATGTGTAAATTTAAAACAATGGGATTTCTCTCTGGATGCATTATAGCTGTAAGTTTCGATATTCCATATATGCAGTGATGATGCAGAGAAGTCAAATAGAGTAAGAAGACTCAAGAGGCTTCTAGATTTGGTAGCTTGGAGACCATCCATTACTGTTAGTGTGCCTAGTCATCAGTTCACCTTCCATGCTTCTCCCAGTAACTGGCTGAAAACTCATAATGCTGCCCCCCCCCCACACCATCCTGTTGAGAAATGGTGTTTATGGGAGATGCACAGGCTTTCAGGAACATTTGCCTTAAAATCACCTGTCAGTTTATGTTCATCTCTTTAGAAACTGCATTTTTCAGGCAAACTCAGTCTCTCATATTGCCTCCATCTTCTCTTTTCCTCTCCAAGGTAAGGTTAGAGAGGTGGGTTGGGCGAACAGGTGGCATTGGGATAGGTGGGTGCTCCTCTGGCCTCCTCCTTGTCCTAGTGGCTGCCTGAAGTGGGATAGTTGATCTGGCCCTTGGGTGTGTGTGGGATCTGCAAAAGTCTATGGCGTGTGTGAGGCATGTTCTGTTCTCTCTGCCCCTTGGGGCTCCAGGGGAGCTCGACCTCCTCTCTTGCACACTTGAACCTACCCTGCTTATTGGCGCTGCAGACTTGCCAGGTCAGTCCCTGACCTGTGGCACCATCAGTTGGTTCTCAGGTATGCTCCCAGCCAGATAATCTGTAGATCTTCATCTCCTTCCCGAAGCATACCCCCTTGGAAGCTGAGAGTGGGTCAGCTGTGCTAACTCCAGCTCAGCCTGTAACTCATTGCACCATGTTGCCACCTTTAGTGAAGTAGCCCCAGATTTCTTGGTAGAGTGATGTAGGGAGTAGGGAAGGAAGGTAGAGATGGTAGAAACCAATGACCCATGGGCAGCCTTGTGATAAAAGGGTTGTCCTGGAAGCCTGGGGAAGCAGATTGTCTTCCTTCTCCATATTCAGAGTGGCTCCATGTTTGTGGATTGGTTTGAAGCTCAGGTCCTTGTGAAGCACTTCTGTGGATAGCTGGTTTCTTTAGGACACATGAGTTTAGCTGGTATAGTACAACTACCAGAGCCATGTCTTGGTAACTTGTTATATAATTGCAGGTTTACAGAGAAGTTGCAAGAATAAGACAAGGAACTGCATGTCCTTTACCCATATTCACCAGTTGTTTACATTCGACTCCATTTCCTTTCTTTAAATGTATTTATGTACATGTATTATTTTTATCTGAACCATTTGAAAGTTAGACATCATGACCTTTTCCCCTAAATATCCCACTATGTATTTTCTAAGAACAAACATGGTGTTTTACATAACTACAGTATAATATCAGGAAATTTAACAGTGGCAACAATTCTGTTATCCAGTCTACGGTCCATACTCAGAATTCATCAGTTCCCGCTACTTGAAAATTGAGCTCTCATTTAAAATGGTTCAGAAGGGCAGTGCATTTGTCTCTTTGGCTTCCTTCAATCTGGGACAGGTCTCCTCCATCTTGCATTGTCTCATTTACTGTTGATATTTCTGAAGAGTCCTTGCTGTTTTGTAGGCTGTCTCTCAATCTGGTTGTGTCTGGTTCCTCATTGTACATTCAGGGAATGCTCTTTTAATGAGAAGACCACAGAAGTGATGTTGTGTTCTTATTGGTGCATTGTGTCAGGGAGGTACATGCTCAGATACCCTTTTTAGAGTTCCAGAGAATGAGGCCCAGAGAGCATAGTAAAGGACCTTAGTTAGACAAGGGGACCATGGATAGCAAGGATGAGAATATGTGAATATGTGATTTTATATCATTTAAGCACTCTTACATATTCAAAGAAGGGATAAAGCAACATAGAGATAGCAATTGTTTTTACTAAATTAACCTGGAAAATATGTGTAAGTGAAGCTATTTTATTATCTTTCTCATTAACCATTTTAGAATAGAGCACTTGGATTCAGAAGACCTGGCCAGGTTCCCCAAAGTTGTCTTTGGGTACTTGTCCCCAGCAATGGTTGTCATCAGCACCCCAAACTCCGAATTCAATCCCCTGTTCCCAACAGTGACTTTAAGAGATGCAGACCACAAATTTGAGTGGACCAGAATGCAGTTTCAGACCTGGTGAGTTAATAAGCATTCTAGAATGTTTTATTTGTTTGATTTTTGAGACCTCACTGGAGTTTAAAATCCTATAACGTAAATCTTGATCTCTATGTATTACTGAGATTTTTTTTTCCCAGTAAAACTGATTCCCAAAGTAATATGATCATGAAGGAACCACCACATTTGGGCAAAATAAACAAAGAAGTTTTATCTTAGGTCTCACAGGCGGGCCAGTGTGGGAAGGGTGTGTAGGCACCAGGTACCTTTTATATGAAGAATGAAGACTGTAGGGTTTTTTATTTGGAGCTCAGGAAACAAAACAGAGGGAAGGTGTGGGGTGAGGGAGGCTGAGCCTCATGACTTGGCCAACGGGTGTCTCCTCCCAGGGCCTTGTTTCTGGCTTTATTTCAAACCCCGTAGGAGATGGGATTGTAACCCTTGTCGTCTCCTTGTCCACTCCCACTCTCTGGGGTATAACTTTTCCTTTTCTCCTTCATATTCTTGTAGTTACTTGGAAACTGACACTTTCATTGCCTTGATGCCCCTCAGAGAACTAAGCAAAGATTTTTACAGAGAAAGTGTAAATGAATGTGGCATTATGTGGTGCTAATAAGAATTTCCAACTTAGAAGTATTTTAGTTCATTGTATTTTTCATATCCTATTCTACTGGAAGTTGGTTCACGATAGCTCTAAGTGTAGTGAAATGATTTCTCTTGTGATTTCAGGGCTTTAGAGGTGGCCAATCTCTACAATTACTCTGTGGAATTTACTGGTGTGGGGGAACCACCAGCAGGTGCTGAGGATGTTGGCTATTGTACCCAGATAGGGATCTTTCAGAAAAATCTAGCAAAGGCCACTGAAACCTGCTTTTCAGAGCAGCATGGTGAACACATTTATAAAGCTGTGAGTATTCTTTGTGAGGTAGCTATCAGGGCAAAAAGTAGTTCATTTATTAGGATGGTGAACTGGTTTTTTTTTTGAGTCCCCACTGTAAAGATAAATGTTAATGATTTTATTTTGAGGTTGACCCTAGGACAATGCTTCATGTCCCACAACTGCTGTCAGGGTTGGTCTATGACATGGTTTTGCCATGTCTCACAGCTTATTATAGAGAACAATCTGCTGGAGTCTTAATACTTCCAAGCTGTTTGTGCCAGCAAACCCCCCTTTTGTAATCTGTTAGGATCATCAGCAGGAAAGAGGGAAAGCCAGTTCCTCCACAGCTTGGCTCAGGAAATGACTATTGGAAATGAACCTCCAAGCTTCTCAGACCCTGTCGGTTTCAGGAAGTATGGTAAAGAATAAAAACATTTTCCTTTTAATTAACAATTTTTTTTTTACCCTTTTCACTCTAATATCAAGTAGGAATATTGGGTTGGTATGACTTGGTGGAAACCTGGCTTGGAGGTTTAGATCATTATAATTTTGAAAGCAAGTCAGATAGTTAAGGTCTGTATGTTAATAGCTTGACTCCCATTATAATTGTGGCATTCATGGTTAGAAGGGTTTGACTTAAGTAAATAACAGTTAATATGTACATACAGTTAAATTTTAATGTGGTAAAAGTTAGTAACGGTTTTGAAAAATTTCCTATATTCCAAGTGTTTTTTTCCCCTCAGGTTTTTACAGTTTCATACCCAAGTTTGCAACAACAAAAATTCCGCAAACTTGTATTGGCTAATGAGGTGCTCCGAGAAGTCGAAAGCATGAGACAGAGATTTGTCCAAAGTATGAAACTACAGGAAGATATGGAAACTGGTAATCAGTCAGAAGACATTGGCCACTCAGTGACCCACAGCACACTGCTTGGACAAGGTTACACAGAAGCCGAAAAAGCCAACATAGAGAAGTCTCCCAAACCTTTCCGTGTCGGAGATAGGTTCTATGTACCCTTGGAAAGACTCCTTGCTTACCCTAAGGTGAACCGACTGTGCAGTAATGTAGAGACTCTGCGAGTGCTCATTGCTGACTCAGTAGCACTGAACAGGGATGGGTCTGCAGTTAGAGCTGACCTGTGTGATGAGCTGGATGACTGAGCAATCCATATTTGCTGCACTTCAGCATTTTAGTAGTAGTTGAGCTCATGCATTTAAACTTTTTGTGTATTCATAATTCAAGTAACTTTTTATTTTGGAATTATTGAACCTTGGTTTTCTTTGAATAAGCCTTCATTGGGGTGGGGGCTTCATTGGGGTGGGGGGATGGTTGTAGAGAGTTTGTTGTATGCTTGGTTTTTGTTAGAGCCGTATGTTGAATGTGACATTAAAATTTTTAAAGAAAATTGAACTATCAAATTGAGTGTGTAAAACCTTGTTCCGGGGAATAAGAGTAGTTTTGAAGGCTTTTGAGGATTCTCTCCCTCCTTTGGTCTTAATCCTAACCTCTGTAATACTTGGCCTAGAACATCATAGAAAAACAGGAATGCAGTTGTTTGAAGGACTAGAAGGCTCTTTGTGATATAAACACTGGGTCCCTGGTTTTTGAGTGCCCTCTTCTGGCAGCTTGCTGGTTGGAATTAGGGTGGCAGTAGCAATGGGGGACAGAGAAATAACAGCTTCATGTATAATAAGGGAAAAACTGGTCAAAATGAGAGAGATTTCTTTCGGAGGCTCAGGAGTACAGAGGTAAGCAGGCAGGCATGGCGGCCTTGCCACTATAGGGACTGACGTGCCATCTTGCTTTTCTGTACTTGGCATGTGCTTCAGGGGTAAGATTGATGTTTGAGCTTTAGCTACCCCTTGCATATTCCAAATTAACCAAAAGGAAAAAAAGGTAGAAAAGGGAGCTGGGACATGTGCTGGCTGGCTGGTAGGTTTGCTGCGGGCTGTTAGATGTCACTACTGCTTGCTTCTTACCAACCAGAGGGGAGGCTCCTGGCCACGACAGCTTATGGAAGGGAAGCTGGGAAATGTAGTCTTTTCTTCAGGGAGGCTGTGTGCCCACTTGGTGGTCTTCTGCCAAGGAATGACAGGGAGAGAAAGAACTGTGGTAACTAACCAGTCTGGGCCACACCTGGAATTTCCCGACGCAGGCTGTGGCTGTGTGGAGTTGGTGCCTGGGAAAGGTCTCCTGGGGCCTGCAATAAAGGGTTTATAACAAAGTAGATGGAAAGTGAATTTGATGAGGGGGGAGGGGAAAGAAAGGATTCTGGAAGACAGTCTGTTAATCCCATAGCCACAGTTTACCAGCTCTTTTTGCCTTCCACTTCATAGACTGCGTCATTAGATCCCCCAACCTTTGTACTTACACTCATTTTCGTTCCTGAATTTGCATGATTGAGAGACTTACACTTCTGCCTCACCCCAGCCTCACCCCAGCCCCACAAAAGGCCGTGTCTGACCTCACCTTCCTAGGCCTCCGCATGCACAACTTTCACCTACGGACTTCCTTATCACTGTTCTGTTAACAACCACGCTTTCCAGCCAAGGGCAGCACTTTGTCCTGTGTTTCCTCAAGTCAACTGATTAACTTTGTTCGTGGTTAATCACCTAGAAGCCTTTAAATACTCAAGACTGCCATGGGGGTTGGAGCCACTGTCTCTTCCTCATGGCTTCCTCGTGTCTCCCCCATTATCTCTGCAACCTCAGTACCTGCATTCTTCTGGAAAGTTGTCTTTACCTCTCTATCTTGATACAGGACTTCCTTTGCACGTGAAAGGTTCATGAATGCTCTCAGTTGGGGGTCAGATATTCTTGTGGGGACAGTGAATCTTTGAAACGTTGTAGCTCCTCAGCTCTGTGAATTGAAGTGGAAAAGCAGCCATAGGTAATGTGTGAATAAGCAGACATGCTGTGTTCTGCTAAAATATTGTTTACTAGAAAAGGCAGCTGTCAGATTTTGTCCATAGTTTGCAGATTGTTTTAAACAAAAGCCATAGGCTCATACCCTTTAGCAGCACAGAGATGGAGTTCTTTCTAAAGGAAGGAAAGCAATCACAGATTTTCTGTTGGTATAAATGCAGCCAAAATCAAGTTTGCTAAGGGAATTCTTGACCCACTTGTGTATCATGGGGGCCATAACCCCATGGTAGAATTTTTGTAGGCACTAAGTGTAGAATGCCTAGCCCAGGGTAATGTTCCTTCTGAAGAAGCTATGTTAATCTTTAGGGGTGTGGTTAAGAAATTTAAATATCCTTTCTGGATAATAAGGCTTTCTTGTAACCAGGCGGCCACTATTCACAGCAATGCATATTGCAGACCTAGAAAGTGAACAGTCATTCTTCTACAGGATTGTTTCTGGAGCAGAATGATCAAATACCTGATTGGTTTAAAGAAAAAAGAAAAGCAGAGCAGTGGCCGTCCTACACATGCTCCTCTCTGCTCTATGTGCAGAAAGGGCCAGGTATAGCTCACACAGCCATAGTTCACGTACCTCATAGGTATTTACAGAGGGTGGAACCTGCTGTAAGGAGCCCAGTCCTCTCCAGCCACTGCCTTTCCTACAGCATTCCCCAGGGGGCAGTGCTGGGTGGCCCTATCCCTGCTCTGTATTTCGGAGAATAATCTTCAAGGAGCTCCTGAGAAAGGAGACATGAAAGGAATTGTGTTTTTATTATTGAATATCTGAAAATGTTTATTCTATCTTCCCATCGGAAATCTCACAATCATGTGACTTGGGAGTTTGCACATAATTCCCCCTCTGGCCCTACCTGCCTCCCTGGGCCATGCCTCATTTGGTGGGCTGCATATTTGTCCCTCTCTATCTGGGGACATGTATTTTAATTATAAAGTGTTCTTTAACAAAAATCTTCCCTTTGCTTTCCTGTTGGGGAACTCTTCCTGGTTGTATATTGTACCTTCATATGTTGGGTAAAGCAGTTTTGCTGCTGTCATAAAACCGGGGCTAAACTTTGGTTTTAGATTGGTTTGAGAAGCCTTTGGCTGCAGAGACTGGAGGGGAAGGAAAGCATAGTATATCTTAAACTTAAACTCTGGTTGAACTTGACATTAAGGTGTTTGAAATATTGGTGGGGAAGGCAATCGCTGCCTTACCTCTAGTCCCACTCCAAACAGCAACAAAATCCTGCTGGTTGAAAACTGTAAATTGTTTTTTCTACAGTAACAAAAAAGTTGAAATTAAGAAAGTAATACTGTACAAATTTAAGATAATTAAGAACTATATAGAATTTAAACTTTATATAGATTTTTTTTCCTTAATACCTGCCCTCCAACACTACCTTTGGAACTCCTGCCTCTCAAATTCACCACGTGTCTTGAAGGGAACAGTCTGGGCCACCATTCCTCATAGAATTCCAGTGGATAAAATGTCTCTTTTCTGATACCAATTACTTCACATAAATGGTATTTATTGTATATTTTTTGGTGCAGCTTCCTTAGCAATACTTTTGTAAATTCATTTCCATCTATTCTAATGATTACATGTGCTTCTGGGGAAAAAAACATTAATAGTAATGCAAAATTATGCGAAAAAATTTAGACTGCTCATAAGGAATGAAGAAGAAATTAAATGTTCCTCAACAGTTTGCCCCCCATCCTTCCATTTCACTCCCTAGAGAAAACTGAAAGGTTTCTTATGTTTCTAACCTGTTAACTACACGTGGACTCCAGTTTTGCAAGAACAGTGGCCTTTTGTGGTGGGGTTGGGGTGGGGAACAGCAGTTTTTCCTTTTCTTAGAGGAAAACCACTTGAATGGCTTTGTAAACTATGTAGAGAAACTTAGGATGTCTGCTCCAAGGCTTTAAACTACATTGTATGGCAATGAAAATTAATATTCTGTAGGAGGCAGAGTTTTATCTGTAGATGTTGCGTGGAAAGTTCTCACTGCCACAACTACTGTGGCCCACACCCCAGAATAAGTGTGAAATTTGGGTTAACAGATATTGGTTGGAACCTTCCTGGCCCTTGAGGATTTCTGCGATTTCCATTAGCTTGAGTTCTCACAGCACTCCCTGTCTTCAGGTTAAGTTTTCATACAATTGAGATGTGCAATTGCCTCCTCACAAAACACTTCCATACAGCAGCTGCCATCTCCCGTTCTTCCCATCCCTCCCACCCTTCTCTTTCCTCTGTTCTCATTTCCAATCTTCCCATCTACAGCATACCTAGCAGCTGAGCTCTTTTTAGGTATTGCTCTCAGCTTCTGGGACTTTCAGTTTTGTCAGTGATTATCAATGAATAATTACAAATAAAATGAATTCCCTTAGCGGGACTGCAGACACCAACTCCCTTGGTTACACCCGGTCCTGGGATGGTGAGACGGGAAGTCAGGGACTGAGCACTGGCAGCAGTGGCAAAGTGCAATCTTACCTGGATCTTCATCCAGGACAGTAGGTGTTAACTACGGCTAACATGGCTTTTGTTGTATGTAATGCACATCTTTGGGGAATACCCTGAACACTTAGGCGGAGATCTAGCAATACTCTAAGCTGGCGGGAGTGGGGAGTCCTACCTTTGTACAGTGAATGTTAATTTCACCTCTTCTGCAACTAGTTTTTGAAGCCAGTGGCAGGCTAGTTCTATACCTTTCTGTTGCTTGTATTGAAAATTTAACTCTCAATGCTCTCTGCCCATTTATCTGTTGGGTTCTTAACACTCCTGTCAGGGCGCATGTCCTCTTGGCCTGCATTGCTGCAGTTACCTCTACTCCCTGTCGTCTTGTGGGCTGTGACCCCAGCTGGAATTAGTAAAATTAAGTTCTGTTCATAATCTTGTCTTTCCTAGAAACACTACATTGGTCCTACTTTCCTACCTCAGCCCCCACCCAGTCAGATTCATTGCTTTTTTGAATAGGCTGATTTCCCACCACTGTATCTTGTCCAGTCTTGTCCTTCTTGAAGCCTCTATCATGTTGATCAACCAGTTTCTTTCTAATGGGACTCCTCAAGGAACTGAACTTACACAGAATCTTCCATTAATCCCATACTAAGGGAAAACAATTTTACCTTATTTCCATGAAGTATGCTTAAATTCTTGCTTCAATCAGGGCTTTCAAATCTTTTTATGGTTATATCAAATTTTTTAAAATACTGAAAAAATGTAAAATGTGTTTCTCCTTTGTTCTTAGTTCCATGAAATCAGGGAAAGAAGTGCAGACAGAGGTTCATTTAGGAGACTTGAGCTGAATCACTGAAGTTCAATACCAGAAGGTGGCATATTTTTCCCACTGAAAAGTAACTGCACTCCCCTGCTTTGAGGGCCCCCTGACATACATCATAAGAAGAAAAAGTTATACCAATTTTCTATAGAGGTTTGAAGCTTTTTGCAGTGCATACTCAGGAAAATTACTGCTGAAATGGTTTAAGGGTCTAGTGGTGAACGCAAGAGATACGGTTGAGGAAACATCTCAACCTAGCTGAGTTGTAATTGCATAGGAATGGGGTCTAAGTCATACAGGAAGGTCTCTGATAGTTCCTTATTTTATGGGTCCATATGGAATAGAGATCACTGATTCAGGAATGTCTAAATTTAAGCCTTTTCTGTTTGTTTCCTAAATTTTTTGTTACCTTTTGTGTAATGCGGGATGGATTCACTCTGGTATGCAAATGGGAAAAAAGATTTCATGGCCTCATATTTGCCACTACCGTAGGCACAGGAAGAGGTAGAATAAGGTGAAGAAGAGAGGGAGAGAAATACAAAGGTGGAATAAGTTATAACTAGAAGGCTGGGCCTGGGTCCTCCATGCCTGAGATGTGGGCGGGCAGATCAGGAGGTCCTGCCCAGCTTTGCTGTCATCTGGCGCAGAGTGATCCTGTATGATCCTGTGTACTGGGAGGAGGTTTGCAGGGTTCCAAGTGCCCGTGCCCTACCCCACTATTCACAGCAAGACAATATGCAGAGAAAGATCTGGGTTCAGACTCATACTAAACTAAAACTAAACTCAAACTAAGTTTTGAGTTTAAGAGAACTAAATATACCATTTAAGAGAACTAAATATAATTTCTGAACTGCCTCAGTTAAAGACCTGTTGAAATGCAACCCTGTTATATGAGTCCAATCTCTTTCAGAGCTTTATATTTACTGAAAGCCTAATACTTCAGAGTACTTAAGAAATGAAGTATTTAATATTACTGTCAGCTTGAGCTTGTAACAGTCTAGTTAGCATGGAAATCTCAAGTCTAGAATTACTCCTAGATGTTTTAATTAATACTCAATGCTACTTGAATATGTTTTGACTGGAGGATAGCTGGAGTTTTTTGCCTCCTAGCAACAAAGGGGCTAAGTGGTAGATCTCTGTGTAAGGCTGGAGGAAGGAAAAACAAGGACATACAAACAGAACAGAGAGATGCCATAGGGGGAGAACAGACCAGACCCCAAGGTCTGTGCCTTATATGGAAAGGGGACAGCTCTTCCTGAATTCCATCCTTCTGATGTGCCAACTAAGACCCAGATGTCAGCCTCCTCCTTCTTGGAAGGAAAAAGTTTCTAGTTGTCTATTTTGTCACCTTTAGCCAATCATACCTCTCCACACCCCCTAGGATAGCTTGCCCACTCCTCCCCCTCCTAACCCCTTATAAGGCCCCACCTACCTGACCGGGTGTGACTTCCCCGGCCTGTAGTACCCAGACCGCGGAACATCACCTGGGAGTGGCATTCAAATAAACTACCTGGCCCTTTGTTGCCACTCTTCGCCTGCTTATTTGGTTAAAATTTATCTTACACTCTGTGGTTCACAGTTTTCATGCAAAACAGAAGACAAAAAACATACAAAAGAACTGAACTTGGATACCATAACTCTCATAGAATTTGCTGGAATGGGACAGTGGACTTAAGGATTCTTAGTCAAGACTTTCTCAGATTATAAATACTAATCCACGTTAATTTCTATACAGAAGCCTTCAAGACCACCACAAAGGCAGGTCAACTGTCAAAGTGTAAACTGATGGCCTGGAGCCTTCTCTGCGCTTTACTACCCCTTCACATCCTCTCTGGTCTAAGTCACCTGCTGAAATCACAGAAAGTGGGCCCCCTCCTGCCTTTGTATTTCCCCCAAAACAAGGTATTTAAGACTCTTACCTGATCAAAATATATTGCTTTAAAATACCATTAAAATCTCTTTCTCTAGGATAGAATTAGAAAAAAAAAACTATTTTTTTTCACCCATCTGCAAATTCTCCAAATGGGTGATTTGAAATTTGACTTTAATATTAAAAAATGATTAAGATCTAATTTTTCAAATCTGATGTTTAAACTCAAAATGGAACCAAAAGTAGACTTGGTATTTGATACGCACATTTTTTTTTCAGTAGTTACATCATTAAGGTATAGCTACACTGTACATGTTCTAAAGAAAAAAACAGGAAATAAGGGAGGCACTTAAGCAAACATGAACAATTATTTTCAATATACTGAAATCTGATTGCAGAGTATGCCCTTGGAACACAAAACAGAGTATAACGAATCCAGACTTTCGCTGATGACAGAGGACATAGCCATTATTTTTTTTTCTTCCTAATCATTGGTTTTGTTTATTTTTTCTTGCCAGTCATTGGTTCTGTTCATTAAAATGTTTGATTTCCTATCATATGTCAAGATGTAGCTGGTGGCTGCTAAAGTTATAAAGGCATGATTTTTGTTTCTCAAAATCTCTCCATATTTTGCTTTTTAAAAATTATTCTATATCATTTTAAATACTGACAGCCAGCCTTGTATAAAGGTATGAGGCCAGGGGCAGCCAAGGACGAGTCAGACAGGCATCTCCCTGATCACAGCACCTTTTACACGTCTGGAGGAAGTCCTCACTAAACCTTGCTTACAATCCATTCTTTTATCATTTTCAAAACCGCAAAAGCATTTGCACAAGCGCCAACAAAAAAGATAGCCTAGAAATAACATTTTAAAGATAGAAAAATAGGTTTTTAAAATGTCATAAATATCTCTAAACAGTATCTTCATATCTGTGAAAAACTTTGATTTTTTTCCCTCACAATATACAGTGAATGTTATCAGTTCACTTGTTATTCACAGACAGCCAAGTCTTCACCACTTAAAATAACATTTTCCTGGGTTAGACTAAAATATTCAGTTCAATTTTTTTTACTTAACACAAATCTTAAAAATGAAGTATAATTAATGACTCAGGAAGCCCTATCTCTGAACATTCAAAATATTCTAAAATGGGGCATCATCTTTTTAAAAGTCTCAGCATCTATTTGTCATAGCAGTATTGGATTAATTTGGAATATTCAATCCAAAATGTTAACATGAACTATTCAAATTTTTCCAAACCTCCAATTTGGATATTAAAGTGTTTTCTTAATAACATATTTTTTCCCTTATTTTGGCAACATGAAAATATCCAGACCAAATTCTATTCTAACATATTATGTTTCTTGGACATCATTTTGAAAGGACTGGGAAATATTGGTTCCATAGAAACTACATTTTTCTTCAGTGACTGATTCAACAAAATTGAAACTGTCACCAGAAAAACGTTTAAGGTTTGGTTTTTCTGTTCTACTGTTAAACTGAACACAAATCAGACAGGTCTATTTTTGCCTCAAAACAACTAACTTTGATATAGTGAAGAAGAAAGCACAGTATCTGATCGTGGGGGGCTGAAATAGAAGACCACAGGCCCATGTCAGTGATGTCAAGCAGCTGCCCCAGGTCTTTTTATCTACTACCTCCTTGGAATAATACTCAGTTTCAGATAAGTCTTAACATAGAAAAGGCCTCTCTGTTTCTGATCAAATCACAAATTTCTTCCTGTTTTTCTGAATTTTGACTCCTAAAACCAGCAGATATTAATTCAGTTAGTTAAAATAGCTCTTATGTTAAGGTGCCTTATGGTTGCCTAACATTTTAAATATTAAACTTATTCTGAATTTCTTATATAGTGCTAATGGGAGTTCGGCAGCTCACCTAGCATCAACAGGTAACAGTACATACTGCATAAAAAGGGCATTAGACCCATTCACGTGTCTCAGACTTAAACACACACATTATTCAAGTTATGACTGATGTGTTTATAATTAAACATTTTACTTGTTAAATTGTAGTATAACATTTTCCCAAAGCACAAACACCCATACTTTATATCGGTTATTGCATCAAAAAGTTAAACTTAGTACAATACTGTAGGTAGTATAATATGGAAGCTTTCCTTAACAGGAATTCTAACTATCTTGACAGAATTTATAGGGTTTAAACATAAAATTTAAGTAAGTGGAGCCCAACTCTGTTGAGCACCACTATTACAGGTCTTACATGTCACACATCAGGGTTACACTTGGAGGGTGTTCTTCTCCCCACCAGGATGTCTGAAAGAAAAAGCAGGCCTTTCCTTATCATGTGCAGTGACCACAGAGGCCGTGTCCCTCTAAATGCACACAGCACATGCCTTGACACCACCATGCCAGTATTTCCTTTGGTGAGTGGGGAAGGATGGGCTCTTTCAGGGAAGAAATCAATGTCGGCTTTCCTCTTGATAGATGAACATACTTGATTTTTAATAGGTCCATTTTCTCATAAGTGCTTGAATAAAGTACCTTGGTAGCTCAATTGCTCCACATCATAAACCCACAGCGAAGCTTCAGTTCACCAGCTTGACTTCTAGCGTTTGATCACCACTTGTTCATAAGCTCCAGATCCTGCCCTAAAACATTAGGAAAAAAAGTCAAAATTTTGAGCTGTAGTGTTTGAAATTGTTTTAGTTAACTTTGCCCTCAAAGAGTGCAGTAGGTATTTTCTAAGAGATTTTATTTCTGGCAGATAGGGTATAAAGAAAGATATCACAGGGTTTAAAGCAATCACTTACAGAAAATACTTGAAATATTAAATATTTATAAATGCACTGAGCCCTGATCCTCTGACACTTATTCCCACAACAGTCACTTACTGTTTCCTAAATCTCAACCTGTCAACACACTGTGGCAAGAAATCTCTTGTTCAAACATGTTTATATATAAGTCCTAAAATCAGTCACCCAAGAGCAGATGTGCTCTGGCAGTTTATCAGCCTTGCTCTTAGTTAATGGATGATAGTTCTTAGGTGGAAAAGTTGTGTGGCATCTTAACGTACTTTCCCGGAAAGTGTGAGATTCTTTTAGTCAACATGCAAATGTCTTTATACGGGGTCAAAAATGTAAATTACACCTGTGTAATGTAGATTTAAAGGAGAAATGATCTTGAAGAGGGGTGTTTTTTTCACTGGCTTGGTTTGGCAGACTGGTGTCCCTCCAATCTGTTCTCCCCTTCTTTATGACTTAGCTGGGCACCAGTGCTTGGTGAGAGAGCATGTTTCTAAACCCCTGTATAGACAGGTATCGCCGTGTGACTAAGCCTCCGCCCATGGAATGTGAGTGGAGATGTGTCCACTTCTGCCTTACTTGCTTAAAGAGAAATGCTTGCCTTAGATTGGTAGCAGTCTGACTTTGACGATGCAGGTAAGGAGGATGGGGAAGGACAAAATGGAGGGTAGCTAGGTCAGTGCATCACCTTTTGAGGCAAAGTGGTCCCACTGTCTGGCCATTGTACTTTTGGTTATCTTTGTTCCTAGCAGCTTAGCCTTTGTCCTGACGTGCTAGGTACTGACTGCATTCCATTAATGAAATATGCCGAATTCTAAAAAACTTTAAATTGGCAAGCTTTGTGAATAAAGTACTTAGAGTTATTTAAACGGCCTCATCAGCAGTTTGTTATTGCTGATGCACCTAATACCTTAGTCCTATGTTACAATGGAATGAACCCATGTTCCCTTCATTGTTCTTGGTCTGGGAAGATAAAGGTTTTCTTTAAAAACACAGTGTTTTTTTGATGGCAGCTGGATTTATTTTTGGATGAGAATCATTCTACCCTTCTCTGACCCCTTGTGACTGATAAGGAGGAGAGTGGAAGTGATGGTGCTATGTGCAGAGGGAGGGATTACTGCTTACAGGTGGGTACCACTAGGTACCTGTCTCCTCCGGTGCCAAGATGTCAGGGGCTACTACCAGGCATTTCATTCGGAGTATGCCAGAGAGAAGTAAGACCGGAAGCAACCGCCACGACTCATTTCTTTCTTTAATGGAATTTTAAGAGGAAATTATAAAAAATGGAAGTTAGGTGGTAGTGGTAACCAGCCCACCATGGACTGAAAAAGACTTCTCAGTTGATTGTTCAGACTCCTGTTCTTACAGATTCTTCCTGCAGGAGAAACAGGAACATCCTCAACAGAACACCAGTGAGCACCCATCCATAGCCACAAATAACCAGAATCTGAAGGAGCCCTGGTGAGCGCCACTGCACACTGGCTTTTAAAATGCCCCCAAATGGTTCTGCTTTAGGCAGTGGTGGAGTTACAGGAACCAGACTTTCTCTCCTGCTTTAAATAACTAGAACACTCTATAGGATATATAGAAAAACAGTTTTCACACACTGGCCAACAGGCAGAGAAGGGAAATAAATGAAGAGAGTCAGGCATTGTCCTGGCTTCTTCCTGAAGCAGTTTCCTCCAGGATCACCTCAGCCCACAGCACAGGGAGGGAGAATTCAAACACAGCCAGGGCTCTTTCTGAGAGCTTAGCAAGGTTGGGGGCTAGGATCTGTAGGTTAGGATACCAGAAGGAGGGGTAGTGGAAAATAACTGAGGGAGAATTTGATGGGACTGTAAACCCACAGATTCCGGAGGCTCAATGGACCCTAAGCAAAGTAAACACAAAGAGAAACACACCAAGGCACATAAAAACCAAACTACTAAGGACATGGGATAAAGAGAAAGTCTCAAAAGCAGCTAGAAATGAAAGATAAATTACACAGAAAGAAATAAAAACAAAAATGAAAGTAGACTTACAGTCAGAAATTAAATGTCCTGAAGGTAAGCAAGGTTAAGCAGCCCTGAGCTGGCCAGGCCATATGCCGCACACTTAAAATGGATCACTGCAGATAGTCCTGCCCAGGTCCCTACCACTTCACTTGTCTGCTCTCTGCATTCTCCTGGGTTCCCTTTCGACGAAGGCACTATGGTCCTGTGCCTCTTATGCGCCCCAAGTAAATGATTCTGGTGCTGCTCATAGAATAGGCCTAGTGCTAACTCATTAGCTTCTATGGTGGATACCCAGAAGTTATGGAAAGCCTATGTGTACAAATACTGTGCTAGGCACATTAACTAGATTAATCTCCACAATAACTTTGCAAGATCAATGTTTAATTAGAGAACATAAAGTACTTGAGCGTTTACTGCATGCCAGATTTTGTTGTGAGCCTTTACACATCTAACCTCATTTAATTTAAACCGTGTAACTCCTATGAGGTGTATTATTTTATCACCCAGGAAACTGAGGCAGAGAGAAGTGAAATAACTTACCAATGTCACACAGCTGGTAAGTCGTGGAGCCTGGGACTGAACCCACCTAACCCAGCCCCAGAGCCTGCGTTGTTAACACCAGTGATTCAGTTATCTTTTTGGTGGCAAGTGAGATATGTAATTTGCCAGGACCATGGCTAAGCTAGGTCATGATGGCTAAGGTAGGAATGAAGCCCAGGTCTGACTCCATGGCTCATTCTCTGATGCTCCTCAGCCTCTCTGTGGCATCTAACATTAATCATCTACTTCAGCTCCTAATTATTACTTTTTCTTGGATTGGGTGATGATTATTCATTTGGGAAAAGGTAGGGGCCAGAATGCTTTTCTTAGCTGCATAAATGCCTTCATATCTCAGTTCTCGATTCTCTCTCAACTAGAAGTTATCTTTCTTTCCTCTGAATAACAGCAGTACAAATAGCTAGCATATGTTGAGAGCTTTCTGTGTCAGGCACTATGTTAAATACTTCACATAAATTATCTAACTTAATCTTCACAAATATCCTGTGAGTTAGGTAAATTTATTTATCACTCCCACTTTACAGGTGAGGAAAACAAACTTATAGAGGTTAACAACATCAGTAAAATAAATGGGGAAAGAGTTACTACTTGATCCTAAGCAGTGTGATGAGACAGCTCATGCTTCTGAGCATTTACTATTTTGGTTCATTTTGGGGTCCTCTACCTAAACTAATACTAGCTACTGAATATATTACAGCATTTACCCTTTACAACAACCCCATGATTATCACCACTTTTCAACAGAGGTAGCTGAAATTCCACTGAAAGTAAGTGATTTTACCTAGGCCCCAAAAGTGATCTGGCTAAGATGTGAACCCAAGTCTCTTCAACTCAAAAACACATGTTCCCTCTACCCTCCTTATCATTGTCTTCATAAATGTTACTTTTCTACCTGTCTCTGCTACTAGTCTGTCCTTGCTCCAAACTACCCTCTACTTTATGGCCAGTTACTTTTTAAAAATGCCAATCTGATAGATCACTTCCCTCCTAAGGAATGGCCAAACTGTATACATGGTAAAGGATAAACTCTGTTATGGTGGCAGAGGCCCTGACAACCTGGCTTCAGAACACTTGCCAACTTCATGTCCCACAGCTCCCTTCCACATACACCTCTCCTCAGAAAAACCTGTTTGTTTCTTGGCAATTCTCTGAGTACGTTATATTATTCATTAACCAGTAAGAACAATGGTCAAGAACAATGAATGAGCTTTGGACTCTGAGAGATTATATTGAATCTTGGTTTTATCACTTAGTTTTAAGGCCTTGGGCAAACTGCCTCAACCTCTTTGAATCTGTTGTTTCTTCTTTTTAAAAAGCAGTAGGAGTACGTTGTGGGTATTCAAAGAGGCAGTGTAAGAACTGAGTGAAACATCTATGTGCTCGGCACATAAGTAAATGCTCAATAAGTGCTATCTGTTATTTTGTGTATTTATTATCATATAATTGTTATGCCTCTAGGTTCACTCTATTTGTTCCTACCACCAGGAATATTTGTCTTCCTTCCATATCCCCATTTATTTTTTATTCTCCCAAAGACTCTGAAGTGCCAATTCCTCTAGGAAGCTTTCTCTGGGTGAGGTCCCATTTATGTTCTCTGAGTTTACTCTACTTTGTGTTATAGTACATACCATACTATCACAAATTTTAGTTTATACATTTTAAATTTATAGTTCATAAATATGTGGTTTTAGTTACATAGATTTAGTGTATAATAATATAAATAATAGTTTGTCTATTCCACCTGATAGAAAGTCAGATAATAAATATTTTAGTCTTGATGATCAAATGGTCCTATTGTACTACTCAATTCTGTTCTTCTAGCATCAAAGCAGCCAGAGACGATAGATAAACAGGCGTTGTTGTGCTCCAATAAAACACTACTTACAAAAACAGGCAGTGGGCTAACTTGGCCTGTGGGTTGTAGTCTGCCATCCCCATGTGCTAGACCACACAGGTTGGTCCAATAGATAGTTTCTGAATTTAATGAGTGGATAAGACACTGAAATTTAGTGAAAGTTCTAAATTGGGTTTACATCCTCTATAAACCCCTTTTCAAATTAATCCTCATAGCATCTTTATATGTCCCTCTCTTACCTACCTATCACATCTGATTGTAGCTAGTTGTTGATGTATCCTTCAGGCCCTGCATGTGCTGGACAAATGAGAGGTACTCAATACAATGAGAATTGGTAGAAGTGAATTAAAAATTCTTTCAGGTTTTGAGATGAGAGAATAAAGTATCTGTCGGACCAAGGGGGCTCCTGACGCAACTCTGACTCACTCTGGAACTCTACATAAATATTACCTGGAAAGTGCGTATCAGGGGAACACAGCAAGTCACTTTGGATGTGATACTAATAACTAATATCAAACACACTGCAAACAAACATTCTTCTCCCACACCACAGAGTGGGGAAGCTGGGAAGTGATCAGAATTCCCTGGCATCTGTGCCCACTACTATTTGCTGCAGAGCTGGGAGTCAGAACAGTAAGTCTGGCAGGTGCCTTTTCTTCACCTGAATCTGAATAATGGCCAAAAGGATGTTTGGTTTTCCTGATTTTCCTTAGTATGTGTGTTAGACACTAGTGAGGTGGAGAAAGGGCTAGTACCAGAAAGCTTAATATCAGTGTGTGTTGCTGAATGGCTGTGCGACTGCTCATAACAGATAAGATCACTGACTGAGAATGTGATTTTGCTTTGCTCTTTCTAAAATATAAGACTAAGAACTGTTTTCTAAATGTCCTTTTTATATTGTATCTCCAATGCTCTTCTGGTCTTCTAGTAATATATTCTAAAGATATATCTACAGAAATCAACCAGTAAACTTACGTAATTTCAAACATACTCAGAATAAGGAAAACTAAGAATACCCTAAGAGCTGTAACTTTTCACACAGAACTACTAACATTTGTGTTTTCTAGCCTCAGTCTAATACAAACCTTGTAACCTTCATCTTCTACACATGAACATTTAAAAGAGAAAGTTTGTTATTTATTTAGTAAGATACTATTTGGACTACATACCTATTTGGAAGATGGTGACTACCAAAGGTCGTCCTTCCCCCAGGACCCACAAAGAGTCTCAGTCCTTCTTCTGCAATGCATATTTCAAACAGTTCTTACAGGTGCAAATCAAATAATACTCATATTGCACTAATTCATGTTTTGTACATTTTCATAATAAATTCATTATTTTACCTTTCAGTTTTATTGCAGAGATAAAAAACTTTAAAGAGCTACATGAGTGTTTTAAAGCACGCAATTTAAAAGATATCCTAGTAGTTCTCACCAACTCTCCTAGAGCTATTTTTCTTAAAACTAAGGAAGAAGATAGCTCCTCTTACAAATTTGCACAAGTAAGGTTTAATTATTTCTCCTTATGATCAGTTACATAATGAAACCAAGCCCATTGTTAACTGCTCACTATTGACACCAGCATGAACAATTATACCTTTCAAATTGGTGGCATGTAAATTTTCAGTTGCAGTGAAATTGCTAAGGAGGGAATGAAGGTTCTGTTATTCACTATCATTTCAAGATTACCATCCAACCCTACAAATTACAATAGTGACTTCAAATACTTATGTCTAAGTATGACAAGGCAGATATAGATATCATAAGGTATATAAACATGGTTGACATTGATAGAATTAAAAAATACAAGCTTTCTTTAAAATTGATCTTGTAAAATTTAAGTTCATTCTTTTCCAAATTGAATACCCACTTTAGAAAAATATGAACTACACAGTTATCTTCAGATTTTTATGGGCATGAAATTTATTTTACAAATGTGTAACGGTATCATGATGTACCAACTCTTTACTGCTGACTAATGGATTACACATACATATTCTTAAATTATATGCACACCTTCTGCACTGGAGTCCAGGCTGAAGTCTTGACTTTGTAATATTTTCTCCACAATGTCATCTGCATCCACTCTGGTGTCATCAACTCGCTTCAGCTGAGATTCTACAGAATCTTGTTTCACTGGGCATCTTTGAAAATAATTTTTAAAAATTTCTTCCTTGTTATGAAAACAAAGTTTTTCCCATCATTTATACAAAGACCAAAGGGATACCTGTTGAGTGTTTCTGAAGCTGAATCTTCTCTACCAACTGTGTCAAAATTTGGTTCAGCTATTTTTTGCTCAATTTCATCACATGGCTCTAGATTACTTTCAATTCCTGTTGATGTACTTCCCTCTGAGGTATTTCTCCTGTGGCAGAGCTCAGAGAAACTAGATGACCGAGAGTGGCATGTGCTATACCCTGTCAGAGAAAGTCACTTTGGATGTGATACTAATAACTAATATCAAACACACTGCAAACAAACATTCTTCTCCCACACCACAGTCATTTCAAGTCCCTTGAGGGCAATAAATATCTAAGGAATTCAATTTCACTTTTAGGCTCTACCTGATACTTTTGACTGCTGGCTTGCATAGCTTGATGTTCTAGAATGTCCATAGGCACCAATTTCATCTGGAACAGAGGCACTCTTTGCTGAAAGATCTGCAATATGTAATAACATAATGTTACTATAACTGCCAGCATGTCAATAGCCAATTTGTATTCTAACCTGTGGACTTAATGAACTGCCAAATTCATTATCAAGAAAAATAAGTTACGAAGTGAAAGAGATCCCTTTAAATCAGTGCAATGTAAATAACTGTGTTGCAATGGTATATAATTTAGTTTATTGAAAAACTATAGTATTTTTCATATGACTTAACTGTATTTTTCATAAGATTTACTACCTTAAGTAAAATGATTTCAGTTTTTATGTTCAGTATTTCTTCAATAAAAATGATTAAAATCTGTTCTTATAAACTCTCAAAAAATTACCAGGTTTTGTGTGTTTTTGAGGAAATCTTGCTCTCAAAAATCCATTACAGCAGTAAACTAAAGAGTGCTTTGTTACTTTAATGTTAGTATTGCTAGTGCTGGGCTGTAGTTTCTGCAAATGTCTGTAATTTAAATCAACACAGCATGGGATGTAGCACTGAGAATAAAAGTTCTTGAAAAATTGATTATAGTATTCAGTTTCAAAGTAAATGTACAAAAAAGCAGTGTCAAAGCCATTTCCAGTAGTTCTCTGATAATGTGCATATTCCAGATGCCAATTATCTATTTCCAGGACCAGGCTTCCACAGAATGCAAGAACTAGAACTGTTTTTCACTTAGAGGCAAAAGGAAACCAATTGAGTAACACAGCAATTATAGCAGCAGTTCTATAAATGGTATTAAATGCAGTTGGAACAACAAATGCTGCCAAACAAGCTACAGGGCTGACTTGGCCCTTCTGCAAAGGTTTCTCATTTATGGACAGACTGAAAATACAAATTGAAACCAGCATCTCTGGTCCTGCTTTACAGTGGCCCTAAACCCTAAGGTGAGCTACCACAAAATCTCAACTCAAAGAGTTGGTTCATACCAAGAATTATATAGGACTAAATCCTTTATGCCTAAGGTTGGCTCATCATTCAACCATTATCTATTTGTTTCCAAAATTTATTCATTTCATAAATATTTATTAACCTCTTACCAAGTCAGGAATCTAAGATATATGTATAGATATAGGGGGTACAAAATAAGTAAGACAAAATATATGCTCACAGTTTAGAGGTAGAAGCAGCTATAAATACAACATGACAAGTGCTAAAATACAAGCACCAAAAAGAAGCTATTAAGAATCCCAAAGGACAAGAACACTGACCACTACCTGGAACTGAGGGAAAGATCTCATACAGGATGTTAATCCAGGTCTTGAACAATGCATACGAATTCCTCGGCTAGATTAGGTGGGGAAAAGTACAGAGAAGAGCATCCTGGTTTGTCAAAGTGAGATAGAGCAGGGAAATGGGACAATGGTCATGCCACTATAAAATCTACTTAGCCTGTAAAAAAGGCCCAGCTTATTATTTAACTTAATTTATATGCTGTTTTTCCTCTTCTTCCAGCCCTTTAATCAAGTAACTTTGTAACCAGGACAGGAGATAGACCTCTGATGTATAAATAAACCTATGTGCATAAAGGATGCTGAGATCTGAACCAACACAATCTCCTAAGCAACCCTATTCTTTTTTTTTTTTTAATTTTTTTATTTTGGTATCATTAATCTACAATTACATGAAGAACATTATGTTTACTAGGCTCCCCCCTTCACCAAGTCCCCCACACATACCCCTTCACAGTCACTGTCCATCAGTGTAGTAAGATGCTGTAAAATCACTACTTGTCTGCTGTCGCACAGCCCTCCCCGTGCCCACCCCACACTATACATGCTAATTGTAATGCCCCCTTTCTTTTTCCCCACCCTTGTCCCTCCCTTCCCACCCATCCTCCCCAGTCCCTTTCCCTTTAGTAACTGTTAGTCCATTCTTGGGTTCTGTGATTCTGCTGCTGTTTTGTTCCTTCAGTTTTCCTTTGTTCTTATACTCCACATATGAGTGAAATCATTTAGTACTTGTCTTTCTCCACCTGGCTTATTTCACTGAGCATAATACCCTCTAGCTCCATCCATGTTGTTGCAAATGGTAGGATCTGTTTTTTTCTTATGGCTGAGTAATATTCCATTGTGTATATGTACCACGTCCTCTCTATCCATTCATCTACTGATGGACATTTAGGTTGCTTCCATATCTTAGCTATTGTAAATAGTGCAGCGATAAACATAGGGGTACATCTGTCTTTTTCAAACTGGAGTGCTGCATTCTTAGGGTAAATTCCTAGGAGTGGAATTCCTGGGTCAAATGGTAAGTCTGTTTTGAGCATTCTGAGGAACCTCCATACTGCTTTCCACAATAGTTGAACTAATTTATATTCCCACCAGCAGTGTAGGAGGGTTCCCCTTTCTCCACAACCTCGCCAACATTTGTTGTTATTTGTCTTTTCGATGATAGCGATCCTTACTGGTGTGAGGTGATATCTCATTGTGGTTTTAATTTGCATTTCTCTGATGACAAGTGATGTGGAGCATCTTTTCATGTTAAGCAACCCTATTCTTAAGACAAAACTTAAAAAGAATTATGAATCACCTGTATACATCATGCCTTATGCTGACCTCTATACAAAAAGCCCTATAAAACTGTAACCCTAAACTCTTACATGTGGCTCCTCTCTGAGGTCACCCAAACTCCTATCTGAGTGTGTACTGTCTTATATCAAATAAGCTTTCTTGTTGTATAAGCCCAATGCACTTGTCTCTGAACTCTTTTCCATGATAAAGACAAGAACTCTCCAACCTCCACCGCTGGTGGTAAATGTCTTTGCCACTTTGCTATTTCATTCAGCTTCCTAGTCTTAACACAATCCTCTTCTCTCTACCTGTTTTATTTCAGACCAGTAGGGAACTGAAAGTTCTCAGAACATAAACCCACTCCATCCAATGCTCTGTGGCTCCCCCAAATCCTGGGGTGGTAGGGACTTAGTTCCCATGCTGTGCAGATTCAGGTGGACACTGGATGCCAGGTGACCCTGGGTTTACGAGTTGGCAAGGGATTTGCCCTGTGCTGAGCTGAAGTTCAATGAATGTCCCTTTCCTCCCTTTTCTTCCTTGCTCTCAACTGCTCGAACAGCTGCTGACACTCACTTCTGTTCTTGCTTTAATGAATTCCTTCCTTACTGATACTTGTCTGACCTGGTTGGGAATTTTTTCTTGATCAGAGTCAAGCATCCTCCCATCTGGGGTGAGGTTTTACCTACTGCACAGGGACAGACCTCTCCCCACACAGCTGCCCGACAACAACAAAAAAGCAAATAGTTTGGTAAAGCTGGAATATAGGGTAGTGGTGTACAGGAAAAGAGAGATGGAGAAGATGTCTGCTAATGAAGGACCTTCTATGAGTTTAAAGAAGGAAATCATTCAATGGTTTTAAGCAAGTATATGACCCAATGACATGAGAAAGATCTACATTTGGGGAGCTAACTTTGGCAACAGGATGAACAAGGAGTAAAGGAGTGAGTTTTCATAATAATCTAGCTGAGAGTGAAAGATTTTTAGCAAGCACAAATGACAGAATGCAATTACTAAGTGGAAGGGTGTGTCAGGATAACTGAGATAGAAATATAGGAGGAAGAGTTAGGGGGACTTGTGCTGGAAATGGGGAATTTGAGACACATGAGGACACCCATTCACTAGTCACTGAATTTCTACTGTTTCCCTGGCATTATGTTGGAGATACAAAGACAAATAAGACCTGATTATGAAGAACTTAAGAGTTTAGCTGAGAATAAAGAAATAACAGATGGATTTCAGCATAACATGTGACATGAAGCTGGCCTTTCCAGAAGGCCTTTGGAAATATGCACCTGGAATTCAAAAGCGAGGTCTACAGTCAACACAGATTTGTAAATCAGAAATACTTAACTAATATTTACATGACTGTATTTACATTTGTGTGAAAAATCCAAGGGTATAGATGACACTGCCCAGGGAGGGTGAGCAGAGGGAACCAAACTCTGTGGAGCTGTAGAAAAAATGGAAGTCTATGCCAGGATTCCTCGCCTGGCTTTACTATTGCCCGCTGTAGACCTGAAAGAGCCTATCTGCATATCTATGGGATGTTTGCCAGACAGGGCAGCTCTGTCAGTTACAGGAGTACTGGCTCAGGGGAGGGGTGGAAAGGAAACACCCATTCTCTCCTCTCAGTTCCTGGCATGTAATTGGTTGGGTGTCCACCAGTCACCACAGAGACCCGCCTGCAGAGTTCCTCCTTGAGCTAGGGGTGGGGAGGCGGGGAGAACGGGTGAGAACAGAGAAGGGAAGACTAGAGGGAGAGCCAGGGGAGAGTGGAGGCTGGTGCACAAAAGCCTGGAGCCCTGGTGCCCCTCGAGGATTACTCCTGTGCTGGGGAGGAGGAGGGAGCGGTGCTGGGGACGGAGAGACTGAGCTGTCTTTGCCACTTGTACACAGCTGGGTGACTGCCCTGAGAATAAACATGGTTTGAACCCCTTTTACCACCCCCGACTTGCCCTTGTCTTTATTTGGTCTCATCAAATTGTGAACTTGCCCAGAGCAGGGAATCCCCTCCTCCTAGGGCAACAGGAACATCAGTATTTACGAGGAAATGGGAAAAGATGAAGAAGCCGCCAAGAACCTAGAAAAGGGAAGGTCAGAGAGGTTTGATCCAAGGGAATAGAAAGCTTCAAGAAAGAGTGAATGGCCAAGTCAGATAAGAGCAGGAAAAGTGCCCACAGAATTAGACACAGGACATCATCAAGAGAGGGCAGAAGACAGGAGCCAGACAGCATTTGTATTTAGGAATAAATGGGCAATACAGTCTTTCTAGAAGTTTGGTTATAAACAGTGTGAGAGAGAGAGGGAGGGAAGGCAGAAGAGCCAAGCACACAGAGGAGCAGCAGCTAAGGGATGTGGGGCCAAGAGTTCTTGGTTTCTTCTCAGTATGAGAAAGAACTCAGAATATGTAAATCCTGAGGAGAAGCAGGTAACGGAAAGGTTAAAAGCATACAAAGGATTCACGACACTAAATCAGGACATTTCACAGCCCTCATCATCTATGAGAAGCCTTATCTTTGCCTATCTGAAAAGGTGGTAAGCATGTTAATTGTATCGCTACACCTTTCTTTCCATTCTTTCAAATGATAACCCAGCTCACATAATATGAGAGAAAAAAGAAGCTCCTAAGTCCTTTTTCTCCAGCCAACTTGACATTTTCCTCCCCCTGCTTTTAGCTCCTGGAGCAGATTCTGACTGCCCCTGGGAGTTGGCCTGGAGAAGCGGTTTTCAAGGTGTGGCATGGGCCCAGCAGATCTACCTCATCAAAAACTCACTGCATAATATCTGGTTTAACAAGCTCACAAGGTGATTCTGATGTACCCATAATCAGTAACAGAGAAAAAGTGATTCACAGAAGAGAACCATCACCTAAGAGGTGAGTGGTAGAAGCTGCTGGGCATGTGGAATGGGAAAAATCCTGTAGAATCTTGTTCTGTCTGTGAGCAGTAGAAGAATACAATGGTGGGGGCATGTGGCACTACAACATTTAGCTTTTAATCCATCAAAGTATAACATTTTAGATGAAATGAAGTATTAGCTTAACCAAAAATTGCATAATTAAAACTCTGCTGGTAATTATCAGCCCATTTCAAATCATGTACTCACAGAATTTTACATCTGGGAGAGACTTTGGGGATCTTTTAGGATATCCAGTAGTACTTTTTCTCACAAATTAAAAAAATCAGTACTCTACAATCCATACCTGCTATTCCAAGATGGATTTTGAGAGTCTCTCCACCTTTTCTATCTTCTTCAAGAGATTCAGATTCACCAGCAATTGGTATAGACATTGATGTAGAAGGAGGCCTGTAAATCAACATTTCTGATCAGAACTTGATTTGAGCATGATCTGAAAGTTTGAAATATTGTTAGAGATTGGTGTGCAGTCAGTACACAGCCTTAGAAAGTAATCTGATAATGTTACTGGTGACAGTAACAAAAAGCAATAAATGATACATGAGCATCATCAAAACTTGAATAAAATTCATGGTGGAAGCAACCTAAGGGTCCATCAGTAGATGAATGGATAAAGAAGATGTGGTACATATACACAATGGAATATTATTCAGCCATAAGAAGAAAACAAATCCTACCATTGGCAACAACATGGATGGAGCTAGAGGGTGTTATGCTCAGTGAAATAAGCTGGGCGGAGAAAGACAAGTATCAAATGATTTCACTCATCTGTGAAGTATAAGAACAAAGCAAAAACTGAAGGAAGAAAACAGCAGCAGACTCACAGAACTCAAGAATGGACTAACAGTAGCCAAAGGGAAAGGGATTGGGAAGGATGGGTGGGAAGGGAGGGATAAGGGGGGAAAAGGGGCATTATGATTAGCACACAAATGTAGGGGGGGCACACGGGGAAGGCAGTATATAGCTCAGAGAAGACAAATAGTGATTCTATAGCATCTTACTATGCTGATGGTCAGTAACTGTAATGGGGTATGTGGTGGGGACTTGATAAATACAGGGAGTCTAGTAACTATAATGTAATTGTACATTAATAATACCAAAATAAAAACTTAAAATTAAAAAAAAATTCATGGGGGAAAAAAAGGTTTTTTACTCAGCATAAAATATGAGATTAGAAAAGGCACTGCCTCCATGGAGTCCAGAAAAGAGAGGACTCTGTCAGTGTGTTCCCTGCACTATGAGCAGAGGGTATCTTCAACTGTCAGCTCAACTCAAAACAGGCAGAGAGGAATCTGTGAGGTGGGGCAGGCAGCCCCAAGCCCCTCTGTGAGGCTGGAGGAGATAGCTCCTCTTCTGCTCCAGTGCCTAAGCTCTCTTGCTGGCTCCACTAGCTTCTGAAACAGTATCCATGGTTTTATCTTCTTTCTTCTCTGTAAACAGTTCACCTGCCTCAGGGAGAGTCTACAAAGAGCCCCAGTTGTTGAGATTTGCCTTTGGGGCTGGGTGCTCTGGGAGTAGGTAATGGATATATTTTCGTTAGCTAATCCAAGGCTCCTATCTTAAAGTGGAAGCTGTGAAACAGGGAAGGGCAAGTTTTAGTTCTAACAATAATAATAAGAAAAATACCCTAACCTTTGGAGGTTGATATTCTACAGAAAAATCACATCTTAGAGACTATCCCTTGGTGACCCAGCCATTGAAGGCACCATGAAGCTGAACCAGTATGTGGCAATTCTTAAATTCTTACCATATTATCTCAATGGAATCCTCAATTAATTCAGATCCTTGGGGATACAGACACCCAAGATTGCCATTAAACCTATTTAATTTATAGAAAATTTCTATTTCAGGATCTCCAAAATGCCAAAGTTGCATATTCTTTGGATATTTTCAAGTACTTGTTCTGCAAGTACATCAAAGTCAGTATATCCTCAACTGAACTGATCTTCTTTCCCCAAATCTGTTTTCTTTTTGTGTTCCCTATCTCTGTGAGTACCATCACAATCCACAAAGTCACCAAAAGCAGAATCCTAGACAATGCCTCTCCTTTCTACTCACATTTCTCCCTATCCAATCAATTTCCAAATCCCACAGATTCTCTCTTAATATTTTTCCTGTTCATCATCTCCTCTCCATTGCCACTAGTTGCTTTAGTTTGGCCTTTGTGCCTTTTCCTGAATATCTGCAAAAATCTCCTAGCTCATCAACCTACCTCTATTCCACGCTACTGTTACTGTGGTCTTTCTGCAATGTTTACATAAACATGTTATTTCTGATTTAAAATGCGTCAGTAACTCCTTGGGGTAAAGCTCACACTCCCTAGAAGGACATGGCCCTCTGCAGTCTGGACTAGACCTACCTCTTCAATGACCAAAAGCTGTATTTTTAAATAATGTAAAACAGCTCGGTAAAAAATAACATGCATTCAATATTCTGTAAGACAAACTAATATGTAAAAGAAGTACAGTTACAAAGAATGGAGTTTATAGACATAATCCTTAATTACTGATGGTGAACATGCCTACCTATCTTTTCTTTCTAATGCCAGTTCCCTTGTTTGTGTTTCTGCAGGTGGTCTGCTTACAGGTCTCCATCCCTCTACTTTCTACACCTGCTTCCTAACCCTGCAAACTCCCAGCCTGTGGCCTCTTCACCTCCTTCCTCTCTGTCTCTGGCTCCATTCTTTCCTGTCCAGCGTGACTTCATAGCCTCACTTTGAGCAATAACAGTTTGGCACCCCTTGTCCTACAGTCTCAAAAACCTGGAGGAATCCCAACCCTTGATAAATTGCCATCTGGACTAACTGCACAAACCGCCCCTAAGCATTATAGAGAAAAGTCAGCAACCACGGAGATTGATATGAAGGCAAATTTAGAATGTAAAATCGTAGCTGGGCCTTGCAGCTCTCCTGAGTCTCCTCACTTATTTCTTTGCTCAACATCTCCCAGTAGCTTTTTATCTCATTCAGATTATAGGTGACCTAGACTATTTTAATAGTGGCCTCTTGGCATAGTGGTCTCCTGGTAGTTACTTGAACTTTCCAAACACACTCCTCCCTCAAGGCCTCTGTCCTTGTTCCCTCTACCTCGAATGCTCTCCCCGAATACCTCCATGGCCTGCTTCCCACCCCTTCAGGTCTCTGCTCAAATATTGCCTTTGCCAGGGAGGACTTCCCTGACAATAAAAAATAATTATACTTCTCACCACAGCCCTTGTACCCTGCTTTGTTATTTTTATATTATATATTTACTTGTTTGTTGTTTTTCTCTTGGAATACAAACTCTGAGACATCAGGGATGTAGTCTTATTTTTATTCCACTACTGTTTCTCTAGTATCTAGAATAAGGCGTAGCACACAGTAAGGAACTTACTAGGTATTTGTTGAAGAAATGAGCAAGTCCACAGAGGCCAAATTAAAATTTTTAATTTGTATAATTTCATAAAAACCTGAAGATGACAAAATACCTATAAGCTTAAATAGTTTAGAATGTGGACAATGTGCTTGCTAATAGGTAATGTTAACTTCTATGAGGGTCAGGTCAGTTTCTTAGGAAAGGAACTATGTCCCTTCACTGGTATTAATCTATAAACAGTACAAAATGTGAATGTAAAAATTTAAGCAAATAAATCACTGTTATACTTTTCAGATGATTCACTTATTAAGCATCAACTTACGTTTTAAAACATGGGTCACCAGACATTAGCTGCATACTGATCAAAACCTAAACATAAGAGAAAGAAATATGATTGCAAAAGATCTCTTGAGAGGAGAAGCTATGTCCTGCTCCTCCGTGCATTCTCCACAGCACCGAGTTCAGTATTTCCTATTTACAAAGGCTCTCATCTTCCCAGGAGTGCATAATACTAAAACTCATGGTCTTAATGAAGAACAGAAAATATATGTATGTATATGTTAGTGCTCGTTTCATGTATCTTTGTATAACCTCCTTTTATTCTTACCTCTTCACACCAGTGCCTCCACAGCTATTCTTTTTCTCTTTAAATGCTAAACTTATCAAATGCATGCCTATACCTATGTGCTCTTCCTTCACAGAACTCTACATTCTGGCCTCCAACTCCATCTGAACAGCATCCTTGAATATGCTGTATGTCTTAGGAAGGAGATGGACATGGCACATAGAATTTTTAAGAAACTGTGTAGGGAAGTAGAATAGAGAAGTGGAACAGTGGTTGGAGGAGGTAAGCTGATTTTTGTTTTTTGTTTGTTTTTTTAAATACAGGAGATACTAGAGCTGTTTCTTTATATGTTAATAAGGACGGTTCATTAGAGGGAGAGGTAATTGGGAGAAGGGATAATCTAAAGAGCAAACCTCTTGGGTGAGCACGCAAGCTTGGGAATCTGGAACCTAAGAGGAAGGATTGACTTCTGACAGGAAGAGGGATACTTCATTCATTGTAACAGGAGGAAAAATGATAATAGGGCTGGAGAAACAGGAAGACTGTAAATTCTGTGATGGCAAGATGAGATAATTTGAACTTAATGGCTTCTACTTTCTCAGTAAAGGATAAAGGAAGGCCCTTAGATGACTGCAAGAATGGTGTGGAGTTAGGAGGAGGGGAAGATATGGAACAGAGTATCTAGGAAATTGGGAAGGGAAGCTTACGAAAAAGTGGGGTACATTGTTTGATGTCAGTGAACATGACTTCAGTAATGCCAGCTGGACTGGTTGTGTGATCTTCTCCAGCAGTGCTTTGCAACTAGGATGCAGACCCAGAGAGGACAGCTGAGTTTGACTAGGGTTCGAGATTACTCAGGAGAGAGCAACGGAGGAAGATGGGGCAAAGGAGCAAGGAGTATTTTTAAGGGTATGATAATCATGGATCATGGAACCTAAGTGGGGAAAAAAGGGAAGTGAAAGCAAGTGGTAGAGAGTGAGAAAGTGGTAAGGTTAAGAGCGAAGTGACTAGCAGATCAAGAGGACTAGAAACATAGAGATGGCAGTAGGAGAGAAGAGTACTTCAAGCTGAAATTTTGGAGGTGGTGGAACTGTAGTGGTAAGAAAGTCTACAGTGTGATTATAGGAGTAGGAATTGAGGTGAAGAAAAAGAAAAGGTTGCTGGAGATGGGCAGTAATTTAAGAAACTGAGATTAGCTAGAGGGAGAGAATATACAGAGTAGACAGTCCACAAGGGTGGATTACTCACAGATGGTGAAGGCACCAAAAAATAATGGCACAAGGGCTGGAAAGAAAACCTGTGAGCCAGGACCTAAGGTATCAATGCATGGGAGACAGAAGGTAACTAAGTGGCTAGGAGATGACAGGGATAAGGAAGGGAGAGACTGTGAGAGTAGAATGGTGTGATCTATAAAAGAGTTTGGTTTCTGCAGGACAAAATGGGAGGCATGATGTGAAAAGATCAGTGGGAACCAGAAGGAAACTACCCCATGAGCTGACCCTAAATGTGGGGCCTAAAATTAGTTATTCCAATTTTCAATGAAACACTGCAATTCAGAGAAGGATTATTCATCTTCTTATACTAGAAATATGAAGAAACTGAATTAAGTGGCTTGCTTGGGATAAGTCTAATAATGCACAGCATAGTCTGTTTATTTCTTACCATCATCTAAGTTACCCTGATGGGATAACCTATCTAAAATACACCAAAAGGTTTATCCAGTGAGTTTTACTGGGTACCAGGCACTTAACATTTTCTCAAATGATCTCATTTAACACTCTTACTAAGTCTCTGAAGCGTATATTCTCTCTGTGGCCACCAGAATATGTGGTTCCTGATGGTACTTGGAAACAACAGGGCAGATGCCCACCTGTTATGTCACTAGTTATAAGAGAACCCAGCAACTTTGATGTGCCCACAGCTGCTTTGGAAGTCACCTTTTGGGAACTACAAAGAGTTTAAGGTATTCTTTCATCATGCCTCCTCCTCCCAATGGGCCTTTATGTTGTCGTGGTTGTGTGTACTGTTCCCTGAAAGTTCACAGCACCAAAGAGAAGCGACTTAGGATCATGAAGGTGAACATCTGTCACTTCCACTGCTTCTGTGCTTGGGGTAGTTTTTCTCCCAGGTGTTTTAGCAGCATGGTCACCTTATATCTCAGGGTTGATTCCCATCTTGCCCTTGACAGGATATACCTATGCTAACTTAAAGGCAGAGAATCTCATTTGTTACATGTAAATCTTGAACATGCTTACTTTAAGAATGGAATTATCCTGTCTTGTATTTTTGGTATCATAGCCTTCCAGTAAACAGCGACGAGTGGTATTTCCTGATCCAGCAAACTCTGCCAGGTTTAGATCTGCAAAGCCCAGCTATGAAAAGAAAGAGCATTATATTAATAGAATGTCTGCTAGGCTTCTATCATATTCTCCTTAAAATAAACATTCAATCCATGCCCTAGACAAGTTTTCTCAAACTTGAGTCATTTGCAATTTTTACCATCTTAACAATACCTGTTCTATTATTTGCTTCATATAGATCTTTAAATTGCTCACTTTTGGTAAAAATTTACTACCTATTCTACTTCTGTCTAAGCAACATCTTTGAAATCACAGATTTGATGTGCTAAATATATATTTTTTTCTGTACACATTAAAATGTATAACTGCTGAAGTAAAAATATGCATATCAATCAATGAAAATCATTGCAAGCAGCAGTGGTACTCACCCTTCACTATGAGAAATACTATAGTCAGATCATGCTCCATTGCATATACATACAGAAAACTGATCAGACTTCCTTCTCACTATTCTGCTCTGGTTCTATTTCCAGGTAACCACTGGGCACTGCAGGTAATTACAGGTTATAAAGTTCTAACTCTCCACACAAGAGCTAGAATGATTTAGGTGTACAACATACTTTCTCTGGTTCATGCTCCACACATTTACCTTGCTGATCACCCCTGAGCTGAATCTTTTTCTATGAAATCTCTTTCTCTCATCCATCCCCAAAGCTGCAGCCCATACCGGCCCTTTCTGCTGCTATCTAGAAGTTTAACTCAAACCTGCTCCTCCCTTACCCAGGTTCTGTCTCCATTTTCTGCAGCCACCAAAAACTGCCATCTGCTCTTTCCTTGGATATTGCTCACCTCTATTTATCACTTCCAAGTGTTACAACAAATCAATCCCATTATATCATTTTTAAAAAAAAGGTATTTTCTACATGACTAAGTATATATAGAGTCTTGTATTAACAGAATGTTTTGACTTTGCAATAAATTTAACACTGTTGTTTTGCATGATACATTCTCTTGTAGATCTTACAGCTTTCTTTCTCACTCCATTCAGGTCTGTGTTCAAATGTCATCTCTCTAAAGGGGCCTCCCTGACCATTCTGATACCTGCCCCACCTCCTCCATCCCCTCCCCTGCAGTTGCCACCCTTTAGCCCTTATTTGCTTTATTTTTCTCCCTAGTAGTTATCATCACATCATGTACATACACATTTCATCTTCAAACACTGCTGTAATTTTAAGTTGCTTGCTTTCATTTTTAAAACCACAGATTGGGCACATATGAACAGCATTCAAGATCAAGATTCTAGTTGCAGGCTGGAGCATCATGTTAGTAGCTTTAAATGGTACAAAGGAAATGAAGAGAAAGAACTAAGAGACCAGTTGAAGGGCCATACGCCCCAAATGCAAAAGATCAGAGCACATCAAACCACAGGTAACACCTGCCTAATTGTCACATGGTCTTCCTGCCTCTGTTAGGGGTCCAACATAACAGCAGAAAAGGCTGGATCTGTCCGGGCCAAAGTCTACAGGTGAAGCCTTATGTGGCTATTTGATTACACATCATTCATATGGCCTATTTCATACATTGTCCTTTCTCTTTTAACCTCCAACTCCTCCTTTCCATCTGTACTCTCTGCTGATACCTCGCTTCCTATTTCACTCAGATGATAAAAGCAATCAAAAGAGCACTTAACTTCCACAAGCTCTTATTGCCAGCTGCATGCGCTCCCCTTCCAGCATCTGTGCCCATGCATTAGCTTTCCCATTTACTGTAAATGAACTGGCTGTGCTCCAATTTGAGGCCAATGGCTCCCCTCTTGCTTCCTCAAATTCTTTGCTTCCTGAATTCTTCCCCCTCTTTGCATTCTAAAATTTCCCTTCTCCATTGGATCATTCCCATCAGTACACAAACATGTTGGATTTTCTCCCATCTTAATGAACAAAAGAAAACAAAACCTTGCCCCACATCCCTCTCCAGTCTATCTGCTCTCCTTTGTGGCAAAACTCCCTGGAAGAGTTGTTTATGTTGGCTGTCTCTGATCCCTCCATTTTCTCACCACGTCAACTTTGTTTCCCCATTCTCTTCCTTATTTACCATTCTAGCCACAGTGTTCTTTTTCTTAAAAGTGCCAAGACCATTTCAGAACCTTTAACACTTACTGTTCTTTTGCCCATACATTCTCTTGTAGATCTTGTAGCTTTCCTCCTCACTCCATTCAGGTCTACGGTCACATGTCATCTCTCTAAAAGAGCCTCTGTGACCATTCTAATGCCTGCCCTCCCCTCCCCTGCAGCTGTCACCCTTTACCCCTCATCTGCTTTATTTTTCTCCCTAGTAATCACCACATCATGTACATATACATTTCACATTATTTTGTTTACTGTCTGTCCCCCCAACCCTCCATTAGAATGTAAGCTCCACAAAGGCAGGGATTTTTATTTGTTTTGTTTACTGCTGCATTTCCAGTACTTAGAAGAGTGCCAGGAACAATACCTGGCACATGATGGGCAGTTAACATATATTTGTTGAATAAAAACAGCCCATTGGCTTACCATCCATTGTTGGAATGCTGGTATTACAGTGTCACTAAGCACAACATAAGTTTAAAAAAATAGAATCTGGTTAATCCCCACTAAGAAAACACATTAAAAGATAGGCTATGTCATGTGACATTTTAGGCTGGAGGTTACCAATGAAGGTTATGACGTTCCAGCCTGAAGGTCAACATTTACTGAGTACCTTTTACGTGCCAGGCCCTGTCCTAGACACTGGGAAACAGCGATGAATAGGACAGATAAGGATGTCTTGAGAGAGCTTACATTCTAGTAAGGTACCAGACAGTCCTTGTTTCCTTATGATTTTCTTGTTGGCCTCACTGAGATAACTGTCTCATTAAAGTGGCATATATACATAAATACTAGTTATACCTGTGGTAGATATTATTTCATTGGGCAAATAATTTTGAGCATCTATGTTCCAAGTCATGTCAGGCATTAGGAATGCAAATCATTCCTCTTCTCATGGTGCTCATAGTGTAATAAGAAAAGACAGAAAAGAAACAAATTCCTATAAAAAAGTTTAAGTGCTATGACAGAAGGAGGCACAATTACAATAAAGAGGAAAAGAAAATTTCTCAGTGGGCAGGGATGACTAAGCTGAGTTTTCAATGAGTTGACAGGACAAGAGAAGGGAGAAGCATATGCATGGTAGGGAAAACATTAAGTCCCAAGGCAAAGAGGCTAAAATAGCATGGCACACTCCAGGAGGTTTATGAAGGCCCCTGAAGTCTAAGGATGAATGAGTGTGTGAATGTGTGAGAGTGTGTGCGCACGTGCAGATAGGTGATTTGCAAACCAACATGGGTCTAATACGTAGGGTTAAAGACTTTACATTTCATTTCCCTTCACAGGCAAAATATAGCTCCTGAAGGACTAAAAGGGGGAATGACCATGTTGGCAGTTTAAAATGATCTCTGTGGCAACAACATAGTGGATGGACTGCAGGGACAGAACAGAGGCAAAGAATGAAAGATAGGAGGCCAGTGCAGGTTTTAAATAAGAAGGTGTAACCTAAGGCAGTGACCTAGGTAACAGAGAGAAGAGATGGTTTCAAAAACTTTTTAGAAGAGAGAAATCAAGGGGACTTGTCAATCGCAACAGACCCTGTTCTTTGCCTACCTACCATTCAACCCTCTGATATTCCTTGCTAGCAGAGCCCTGATTTTATTCTAGAGACCACTCTTAGCTCATCCATGTGCACTAGGAAAGGAACCCAAACTCTAGCTCATTGTTAAGTTGTGGTTAGTACAAACTAACCGTGGTAATCCATTCCTATTGCCCATGGCTGGTTTAGGAGTGGGCAGCATATGATGGTTGTGGCTAATGAAAGATGTGTGGAAATCCTCTGAAGGTCATCTCACAACAGTTTTCTCACTCAAAAATAGTCACACATGGAAGAACAGCTTGATTTTGTCATAATGTGAATGTGTTGACTGAAACTCCATCAGCGAGTCACCTGATGAGGAGCTAGCCAAGGACAGACTTGTCACACAGAGAACAGGAGACTGAAAAGGGAAAAGGAACATGCGTCCCTGGGGACCTTCCTCAGTCAGTGGGTCAACCAATTTGGGAGCAGCTCTATGTCACATTTACAGCTTTAAAAATCTCTGAGTGAGGAGGGTTTTCTGTTACTTGTTGCAAAGAGCAGACTAACAGACATCATAACCCACTAGTTTTAGGGAGTTAGGAGACTTCATGGTTGAAATTAGTCTCCTGGTCTTTGGCTCAGAAAACTGAACTGAGACTGGAAATAAAGACAAGTTTGTGGCTTTCTGGTATTACTAATTACTAATTCCTTCTATTCAGCAAAAAGGTGAGCTTACTCATTAATTCCACTTAGCTAGTAAAAGTAGAAAGAACAATACTGATCAATCATATACAGATACAGCTAAGAGAGCAAAGAGGAGGGGCCCTATTCCACTTGAGACTTGGTATACTCCCTACCATGCATGTGCTTCTCCCTTCTCTTGTCCTATCAACTCACTAAAATTCTATTGCAATACTTCTCAGGGGTGACTGAATTAACAGATGCAATTGTTAATGCAAACTAGAGCTCATCTTCTAGTAGGGAAATGGAAATGTAAGAATAATACCCCATAATCTGTAATCAGAAAGAATATACCTATAATTTATTGTTGGATCCAACTATTCAATCTCTAAGCTGCTTTATTTTTGAAAAGCCAACTTGAACAGTAATTAGAAGAAACCATTTAATTTTTAAGTTTATAAATAGCAAAAAGTGATATTACAAATTCTGAAACAGCTAAAGCTACTTACCTTTGCATAAGCTTTTCCACCTTTTAATTCCTGCCAAAGATAGGGAACACTGTAAGGATATCATATGATTAAAGACTTTGAATTAAATAGATGTCAAATAATTCTGAAGTATAACAAATATAGATAGTAAAATTCTGATGATCTTATATCATCCAACTCTCCACCCTCAAAATGACCAGAATTTTTATTCAGAATTTAAATGAAATCTGAAAGAGACAAATGGTGAGAAGACAAGCTAACATTTAATCTATTTGCTGAAGAAGAAATTGTCAAAAAGTATCCTAGATTCATTTCAAGAACCTGAATCACCAAAGAAAACTTAAATTAATTACTTTCCTAGTTAGGCACATCAATACATTGTAGAAAGATTTTAACAAGAGTTGAAACCCATACACCAGAGGTCACGATTACCAATTTTTAGGAATTGTCCAAAAGATGCTCTATACATATATGTGTGTGTGTATTTTCCCTCTTTACTCAAATGATAGTGTACTACACACACAGTTCTATATTTTACTTTTTTCCACTTAATATGTATTGCTGTGGGTACTGTTCCACGTTAGTATAGTAGAAACCCTCTTGTCTAATGTGAACAAGACTGGAAAAAGTAAAATAAATAAATAAATAAATAAATATTTTAATTTAAAACATTTAACTGTAGATTAATTTGCCAAATCTTTGGATAACATATTACACAGATGTGAGAATTAAGGGTAAAACACTTAGAACAATGCCTAGAACACAGTGTACTCTGTGCATGTGTTTGCCATTACAGTTAAGACCAAACTCCCCTCTCCCCATTCACTTTAAAATATATGTTTGCTGAGTAGAGTTGTCTCTTATCTTTCTCGTATTAACCAGATACATAATGTATTATGAACCATTTTCATCTTTAAAATGGTGAATTTAAATAAACTGAGAAGTGATCTACTGAGAGTGAAGCAACTCTGTTATTCATGAATGCTTGCTGCCTCTCCCCTTCCCTGCCCCACTGATGTCACATGTAGCCAGGTGAGATCTATCAAATTTGCTTCTTTATTAGGTCACTGTCATAGTCCTTAATTAAATAAAGCAAAACAGGACAGAACTTTCTCCAGATGATCCTTTTCTCTTCTAACAATTCTTTTCATTGCTCCTCTCTACAGCCCAACTCCTCAAAAGGCTCACCCAAGCTCGCTGCATCTCACTGTATTCAGTCTACTCCAGTTGGGCTTTTGTCCTCACTTTCCTCTTCAGTGGCTCCTATGATCACCAATGATCGCCATTTTTATTCATGCAAAGATTCTGTCTTCATCTTACTTAATATATCGTAATAGTATTTGACCCACTTGGCCACTCTGCCTCCTTTCTTACATAATTTTCTCTATAAACTTCATGGTGCCACAGTTGTTTGGTTTTATTCCTACCTCACTGACTGCTCTTCTCTCTCCTTTGCTGGATCTAGTCCTGTTTTCAACCTCTGTAGAATGAATTCTAGTCGTACCCCTTACCTGTCTCCCCTTCTCCACAGTAATAGAATTCTCTGTTTGAGAATTCTACCTGGCTACCCAAAATAAAGTACAGTCGACCCTCAAACAACATGAGAATTAGGGCACTGATGCCCCTTTGTAGTTGGAAATCCTCATATAACTGACTCCCCCAAACTTAACTACTAATAGTCTGTTGTTGACTGGAAGCCTTACTGATAACATAAACAGTCACTTAACACATATTTTGTATGTTAGATGTACCATACAGTGTATTCTTACAATAAAGTAAACTAAAAAGGAAATGTTCTTTTCAAATCATTACAAATCTCCAAAAAATCTCCCAATATATTTATTGGAAAAAATCCACATATATGGGGACCTGCAATAGCATTTAACACACGTGGTCACTCTGCCTGCTAACTCTATAATAAGCATTCCTCACCCAATTCAAACTTATCCCAGCTTGCTGCATCCCACTGTATTCAATCTACTCTAGTTCAAGGATCAACTGTAATGATGACATTTTCTACCTGCTTTTTGTGCTATGGCCCTGTGACTAAGATTTGGCCAAAAGCACACAAGAAGTGGTAAGTATGAATCCCTGCTCCTTTCTTGTACCTACTAGCAGTAATCTCTAAGTGACAGTGATCAAGAATTTGCTCCAGGGCCTCCCATCTTCTCTAGCTACACTTTCTCTCTGGGTGATTTTATTCAGGTCTATGGCTTAAAATAACGACTATATGTTGATGACCCTCAAATCTCTCTTTCTAGTCTGAACTTTCCCTGAGTTCCAGAACTAGTACTAGTTCCTAACATTTCATAGATGGCTCAAGTTTAACATGGGCAAAATAGACCTACTGTTCTCAATTTACCCATCCCCAATTATTCTGAATCTTCACCATTTCAATAAATAGCATTATCCATCCATGTACTTGGGCAAAAGGTCTAAGAGCTACCCTCAATTCTTTTTCCTTCACTCACCATATCCAATCCATTAGTGTGTGTGTGTGGAGGTCTACCTCCAAATATATCCTGAAGCATACCATCCAAACTGTTAAAACTCTATAACAAGCATTCCTCACCCAAACCATCCCAACCACCTAAGTGGTCTCTCTGCAATTCATTCTCCATATAGCAGTTAAACTGATCTTATAAAATCATGTCTCTCCTTATTAAAATCTTCCAACGGTTTAAATTATAATTAGAATAAAATTGAAGCTCATTACCATGGCCTATAAGGCCCTACCTGATACAGTATCTCTGACCTCATCATCAACAACTGGTCTTACATGCAAGATTTGTTGTTTATCCTAAATGGGGGTCAGGTACTTTTCAATACGTGCCTTGATATTTTTCATCAGTTTTAGAAGATTCTTAGCCACAATTTCTCATCTCCTTCTGTGGCTCCAATTACATATATGTTAGACCTTCTTACCATTTCCTATGTCTTACACTCTTTTCTTTATATTCTACCCCTTTTCTCTCCATGATTTAGCCTGGACATTTTCTTTTGTTTTATTTTTCAGTTTACCAATGCTCTCTTCAGTTGTGGCAAACCTGTTGTTAAATCCACCTGTTGAGATTTATTTTCATCTATTTAGCTTTAAATTTTAGTTACTGTATTTTTCAGTTCTAAAATTCAATTTGCTTTTAAAAAATAGTTTCTAGTTCTCTAATAAAATCCTCCATATTGTTCATTAATATATAGTTACTGTCAAAGTTAGTCTCTGATCTTTCCCAAATCTGTACTTTCATAGTCTGTTTCTATTACCTATTTTCCTTTTGATTTTTGGTCATGTAGTCATATCTCTTGGTATGCTTGGTATTTTTGTGCATGATAATTTGAAGAAATAATTTGAAATATTTTCCTTCAGAGAAGATATACATTTGCTCTGGCAAATAATAATGTAGGGCCAGATCACCTTCACCCAAGCAGGGATGGAGCTGATTGAAAGCTGAGTTCTGTCTTTGTAAGAGTTGATCTATATCTACTAAACTCCTTCTAGGATGAAACTTCTAGGGTGTCCCAAAGAAAAGCTTGGGGTATTTACCAAGGCCTTTCCTGATGATGGGCCCTGGACTCCAGGTTTCATCCCTTTAGTTCTATAAAATTGCAGGAATCTCAGCTCCTTAGCCTCTCAATCACTGCTTTTGGTACAACTTCTTGAGAACTGCTTGCAAATCAGCAAATGCTTGAGGGTAAGACAACATCAAACATCAGGCTAATCACTTTACTCTTCTTTGTCTCATTATAATAAACCTTTCAAGTCCTCACTGCCTTGGCAGCTTCTGATACCTTCAAGCACCTATTTTTAATATTTTCTCTAGTTTTTCTGATTGTTTTCAGAGGGAGGGGTGGTCTGTAAAAAGATAGTCCATTAATTTCAGAAGTGTAAATCCCCAGGTTTATTATTTTAAAGTTTATTATTATCCCTAGCCTTATATGGATTGAACTGTATATCCCCCAAAAAGATATACTTAAGTCCTAACCCTGAGTACCTCAGAACATGGCTGTATTTTGAAATCAAGTCTTTATACAGGTAATCTGGTTAGAATGAGGTACTACTCTAATATGACTGGTGTCCTTATAAAAAGGGGAAATCTGAACATAGACAGAGACACACACAGGGGGAAGATAATGTGAAGACACAAAAGAAGACAGCCTTGTAACTGGAATGATGTGTCGACAAGCCCAGGAATACTTGAGGCTACAAGAAGCAAGAAGAAAGGGATGGAACAGTTTCTTTCTTGGCACCTGCAGAGGGAGCACAGTCCTGCTGAGACCCTGCTGATTTGACTTCTGGCCTCTAGAACTGTAAGACAAATTTCTGTTTTAAGCCACCCAGTGTGTGGTACTTTGTGAGAGCGGCTCTAGGAAACTAACACAGGACTCTTCTACTTTTAGGTCTGATAGTTAATTTTATTGTCAACTTGTGCATGATAAGTCACAGGGTACCCATATATTTGGTTAAACATTATTCTGGATGTGTCTGTGAGGATGTTTCTGGAAGATACTAATATTTTAATCAGCTGACTAAGTAAAGCAGATTGCTCTCCCCAAGGTAGGTGGACACGATTCAATCTGCTGAGGGCTTCAGTAGAAAAAACATGCAGAGGCAGGCTGAATTCTCTCTCTCACTGTTTGAGCTGGACATCTGTCTTCTGCCCTCACTAGACTTATACCATCAGCTGCCCTGGTTCTCAGATTTTTAGGGTCTGGACTTATACCATTGACTTTCCAGGTCTCAGGCCTTTCGACTCAGGCTGGAACTACACTACAAGCTTTTATGGGGCTCCGGCTTGCAGACAGCAAACTGTGGGACTTCTCAGCCTCTATAATTGCATAAGCCAAATCCTTATGATAACTCTCTTTTATGTCTATGTCTATATCTATATCTATCTCCACTCTATTGCTTCTGTACAAGGTTCTAATCCTTTAGAATGGTGCTTTCCTAGATCTTTACATGGGTGCCTCCTCTTCAAATGTTACCCTTCAGAGAAGTCTTCATTGTCCCCTCCCCCAATTTCCTAAAATGATTTCCTCTTCCTAAGTTATTCTCTATTACATCATTGTATTTTATATATAACACTTGTCACTCTATCTCAAATAATCTGGTTACATGTTTACTATTTGTCTTTCTTACCACTCTTCCCTTAACTCCAACTAGAAAGTAGAGTTCTTGAGGACAGAACTTATTCCAGTTCACCACTGTCTGTTCAGTGCCTAGAATAGTACCTGGCACATGGTAGAAATTCACCTATTTGCTGACTTGTGATTGATTGCTTCCCTTTTTCCTAGGTGCTAGAGTATATTATCAAACTTTTTCATCTTTGTCAAGTTTATAGGTAAAAACTAGTATCATATTTGTAGTTTTAAAATATATGAGATTGAGTAACCTTTTATATGTTTAAAGCTATTCATATTTTCAGTTTTGTGACATGTATATTCTGTCCCTTGCCTATTTTTCTAAACGGTTTTTGACATTTCTTACTGATTTATTTGAAGGTGTTCTTTCTATGCTAAAGAAATCAGTCCTTTGACATGATTTGCAGGTATTTTCCCCTAATTTATTACTTTGCTTAAGGTTTTTTTTGCAAAGCAGAAAATGTTTGTATAGTTGAGTTTACTTATTTTTCTTTATCTTCCTTACTTTTATCTTTATTATTCTCATGTGGCTTTTTCTCTTTTCTCACTACTTGAAAGATAACAAGACTGGAGCCACTCCCTTGGATCCAGCAATGGGCACCAAATGGTGAGGATGGAGGAGCTGCTCTACCAGCCCTGGATCCCGTGCCTTATTACCCATGGGAGACATAAACTTCTATCTTCTTTAAGTCATTATATATTTGGGTATGCATTACATACACTTATAACATATGCCCTAACTAATATATCAAACCATGATAATCTGAGGAACTGGGATGAACAAGTCCTATCTTAAATAGAAAAAGGAAGTAAAAAAAAAAAGAGAGACTCTGAGTCTCTTTAATTAGCAGTTATGCTTCACTCTCAACTTGTTACATGTTTTCTTTTTCCTAAAATTCAAAGACCAACAGATCATCTTCCAAAAATCTTGATTAGAAATCCATTTAGAAAAGGTTTCAATGTGAGAGTTGCAGCAGTAATTGAAGTAGAAAGGCAAGAAGATAGGATGCTTTACTCATATCTTGGTTAATCCTTATAATATCTTTTTTTTCTTATAATATCTTGAGGAAGCAATTATTATGGCCTTATTTGAATGAAAAAACTGATTTTTGGAAAGTCAGAAGAATTGACTATGGTCTCATAGTTAGTAAGTGGAATACATGGGATTCAAGCCCAGTTCAGTATGATGCCATATACATGACTGCAGTATACTTCCTTAGGGAAGTCTCTAATCAATTATTGCTACTCCAAATATGACTGTTTCAGAGGTCTATTTTCATTAAAGGCTTAAAACCTATAAAATGTACATATATATTTATATTTAACTTATATAGAGCAATATAAGAGAATTTAAAATACAGCCACACACATCATAGTGCTACCAGTTCACTCAAAAAGCAGAATGAGAAAGCTAAAAAATGCAACTTCATATCAGCAACAGCAGGATGCAAGACTGGAGTAGAAAGAACAAGGCAAGGGACTTCTGCTTTTCATTCTAAATCCTTCTGTATTTAATTTTTGAATGTGTATTTGAATTGAATTTTTAAAAATGTATATAAGATGTAAACATAAGGTTTACATTTTAAAGTAGCTTAATTCCCCAGTAGTAGTGGTGACTAATGGATTCCTCTGTTTCATCCAAAGAAAGTAGGATCATATATTTATATATGTATATATATATATATATATATACACATACACAC